TTGGGTGTATATATGTCCCAGCAAACCAGCATCACCACTAAAATGTATCATATAGGTGGAAGCCAGTGTAAAAGTTCAAGAACAGCAGTCATGTGTGTCTTGTTAAAACTCTGGTAGCAGCGTTGTGAATGAGGTGTTGTGGTCTAATGGTCTTCTTGAGGAGATCAGACAAGAGACAGTATCAATAGTCCACTTTGCAGGAGATGAAGGAATGAATGATTTTCTCTAAATCTTGTCTGGACATAAGATCTCTAATTCCTTCCATGTGTGTGAGATAATAAAATGCTGATTTAGTTATTGAACTGATGTTGCTGCTGAGGCTCAAACCTGAGTCTAAATGTCTGTTCAAAAGAAAAGACACAAAACTTTCTCACAAGATACACCTTTTTAGGCCCAGATGAAGTGAAATTTCAAAAAACACACACACACACACACACACACACACACACACACACACACACACAAGTATAAATGTGCCAGATTCATCAAATAGTCACACACTTGAAGAATGATAATTGTCTATACCCTCTACTGGCTGTGAACTCTGTCTACTGGGTGTTTAATCCTTCTCTTAATTCAAACTGAATGGCTGCAAAAATTCAACCAGGCCTACACTGCCACCATGTGGAAGCAACGGCAACGTTTTAAATGGCTTTAGATTTCTGCCCTCTGCAATCTCCTCGACATGTTGCATCCAATAAAAGAAGATGGATATTGTCTTACGTATATAATATTGAGATGTTCCATTTGTGTTATTGTATTACATCAATGGAAAAAGTAAGCTTGTTTGGCTGCTGAGTTTGGTCTATTTTGGTCCAAAAATAAAATCTAATTTCAAGGGAATTCTGGCCATCACAAATTTAATATTGATGTGAAAAAAAAGTGACAGTTACTTTTCCTGCCAACACTCCCCACTAAAACATTAGCAAAGTAAAATCTGAAAAATTACAGCATAATGAATGTAAAATGAGTGCAATGTGAACAAATGTCAGTAACCTTAGCTGCTAAATTGGCCATTATAAAACCTGGATAAAATATATTTTCAATAACATTAGCTGCTAACTTTGGCCACAACAAACCTAAATATTATATAAAATTAAATATGTCACTAACATCAGCTGGTAATTTAGTCATCAAGAAGATCAAGCAGACCAGAAGATCAGATGAAACACACTATGTTACATTAGCTGCAAAGTTTGGCCATTAGACATAAATGTTCTAAGAAAATTGAAACTTTTCAATTACTTTAGCTGCTACGTTTGGTCTCAGAAAGTTCAATTTACAGGGTAAAGAAAAAGGTGACAGTAATATTAGCTATTAATTCTGACAATCACAAATTTAATATTGATGTGAAATGAAACAGTCAAACAAAACAAATAAAAAAAATCCAATGACTTAAACTGTTAACTTTGAGTGTCTCAAAGTTAAAGTCAAGGTAAAGCAAAAGTAGTGATGTTACATGAGACGTCGAGGCTTCGAGGTGTGTGTCGAGTACTGCTCTTTTGAAGCGTGTACCGATGCGTGTATCATTTTAAAAGTATGACATAACTGATGACATGAGAAGCCTTACTTCTCATCTGTACCACGTGACTGCGTTTGGTTCGAATAATGGAGCAACTGCGCCATAAGACCCCAGAGCAATGATATTTAATAGTTTTAGGTTTATAACATTGACTGGTTGTATTTGACTTCTCCAGTTTGACAAACTTTGATCTTATTTCTTCCGAGAAAGCACAAGCATAATAGTGTAAATTTATTATAGATGCTTTATGTTTATTGAAATATATTTTTTCAAGCACATATGTTGATTTGCTTTTACAATAATTAGCGTACTACAAAGGTATGCTTCGAAGAAAGCTACAATCCCATATACTGATGCTTTGTAATATACAAACATTTGTATTTGCCTATTTCACATTCTGGCCAGTAGATGTCAGTGTGTTAACATGAAGCATCGAGAAATTAACCTTTTTTCTAACCACTTTGCTGGAATGGTTCAGAGCTTTATGAGGCTTCATCTCACCGTCACTAGACATTATATAAACACCATAAAGCTCTCACCTGAACAGACGTCCTTCTTGATGAGCTTCTTCGTCATCATCTTTATTGGCGGTTGGCAAACCAGCTTGTAGGTGCATTACTACCACCAATTGGACTGGAGTGTGCATCAGGCAGGGGTGGATCTAGAGAAAAAATCATGGGGTGGCATGGAGATTTTAAACAAATCACATATATCAGTATTTGATTGAAAAAGCCCCCAAATTAAGATATTCTAAGATTTTTAAGTCATACATATTTTTGTACTTGCCACAAAATCTATGCAAAAAACGCAATAATTAAGCTAAACCAAAAGCAAGTCTCATTTGTACTGTCATGCAATTGCAGAAATAATACGAGTCATTTCCATTCAGCTCTCAATTATGAGCCCAACAAGTGCAATAACCATGTGATGAAGTGTGGCCGTGCTAAACACTGCAAATGGTGCTCTGATGAAGAATCTTCTGCCTCATCTTTATCCAACGTCGCTAAACATGACTGACAGTGGAGGTGTTGGCTGTGATTGCTTTTTCTCCTGTCATGAACAGAGTGTATGCTATCACATTTTCAAAATAAAAGAAAACTAATTCCTCTGACTAAAAGCTCTGCTTCAAAGTAAGAGTACTTCATAGAAATGTAGTGGAGTCAAAAGTACAATATTTGACTTTTAAATGTAGTGAGGTAAAAGTCATAAGTTTAGTAAGTAAGTTATAAATACAAATAGCCTACTTAAGTACAGTACTCAAGTAAATTTACTTGTGAGTGAGTGATTATGACGGTAAAAGGCTTTTGTATGTTGCACTTTTATGACTGATCTGAAATTTGGACACGTTTGTTTGCCCAATGAGCAGCCTCGGTCTCTATGGGTGTAGGTGGGACACTGCGACAGGTTTGTTGAGTTTACCGTCAGATCTCCTGGCCCGTTTATTTTAGTTTTTTATACAAAAAACAAATTGCAAGTTATGTTACCCAATTATGTTGTTTTGTATCCTTGGTCATTTTTAAATGATTATACGGACATTGTGGAGCTTTCTTAGTGGGTATACCTGCACTTAGATTACACCACTGCCCACATATCCCGCCTAATTTCTCACATAGTGGTCTAGGCTATGTTAATTGGCTTGCTTGTTACCTACCCAAAGTGAACATATTCGAGCATGAATCAAGCAAACACGGTATACGGATTCGACTGACTTGCACTTTACAAATGTTCTAATGTATTTTAAATGAACTGAAATTCTCACCTCCTTCCTTGGATGTACGGCCTAGTAACTGGTAGTCGCGGCTCCTGTTGGGGGGTTGCAACCCGTAGAACCTAGGGGTCTATGGGGACCGTCTTCTCATGCTGCATTCCATTGCACTCGGACATCGGAGTTTCACTCTTGTAAACCTCCGACCGGCCACAACCTTTTATTTTGAGATTTTTGAATTAAAACTGGTACATCCGCCCCTGGCATCAGGAGATTATGAAGTAAAATATCTTTTTTTGGCTAAACCAGTTTCGTTTATAAATTTAATAATAACACCATATAACTTTCTTACAGAATTCCCCAAGAGCTCTGACAACAACAACAAAAAAGCATTGTGTCTCTCTCAGCTGAGAAGGATAAACTGATTAAATAGTCCCTTTCTCTACTGAACAATTAACCTGGGCTGAACCAAACTTCATTCAGGGGTCTAAGTCTATCTCATTTAAATTGATTAATAGACAATAAGTTACTTTTATCAGCAAACATCAACAATACAAAGCAGACATACATTATCATTTTGTTATCAAACTGTGTAAATCCCCCAAACCCACAAATACTTATTATCACAATTTATTAAATTAACGATCTCCCCACAGTCATGGTATAACCCATGACATCATTGATGACATCAGCAACAGCATAAAAGAAGGAAGTGTTTGGCTGCCTCCCCCTTGGAACTCCTGGAATACATGGTGAGTATTGAGGGTTAAGGTGCTCACATTAAATCAGTGAAGTATAGTAGAACTGTATCTATATAACCAAAAATTACTGCTGCATCGTCACTGTAAGAAAAAAACAATGCTAACAAACACACACTTCTATACATACATGTATGTATAGAAGTGCAAGTGACATTAGCTACTAACTTTTGGACATTACAATTTTAACTCTTCCTAAGCTATGAATGTAACATGGCTAGCATGAAGCTACAGTGTTAACAGTGTCAGTAACATCAGATGCTAACGTTTGTCTTCAGAAATGTAAGGGTAAGATAAAAATGAACATGTCAGTAGCATTAACTGCTAACATAGAAAACAAGGCTAGCAAGCTAAACAGTGCAGGGTCACTAACATGAATCAGACATTATAAGGTTAGCATTAACTAGCATTAGCTGCTACTTGCTAGCTAGCTAACCTTTGAACTTTAGGTTGGTATAAGATGCTATCATGTTGACCTTTACAATTACAAAGCTAGCTTTAGCTCCTCCTAACCTGAATATTACAAGGCTATCTTTAGCCTGTAAATCTTGGACAATGGCTAGCATTAAGCTGTATTACACAGTGGGTAAGGGTAGCATTAGCTGCTAACCTATGAACATTAGAAGGCTAGCATGAGCTGTTTACATTTGGGCATTTCAAGGTGTGCTAATATACTTATCCACTTTGTTATCTTGTGATTTGATTTTAATGTGGTATGGAAAATTCAGGCCACAACTAAAAAAAAAAAGACAGAATATTGAATAACATTAATTTAACATATGATGTTCATTTAATCAGAAGTAAATGCATACATAAAAATGAAAAAACATGCAGGCTAACATGTATGATATCTAACTTTATTTCACGTTTTTGGCCATTTGGTGTATTTCACTATTTTCTTGGAGCTTTTCTTTATTTTTAAAGCTGAAACCCAAAAAGAGTTTAAAAAGAGAATGGATTATTTGATTCACATTATAAAAATTTCTTTACAAAATATGTACATGATTTCACAGGCAGGTGAACAAACAGAAACTCTTCAGTACACCCTACACACCTTTGTCACAGCTGTAACAACTACAACACCCAGCAGTGTCTGGCTCTGCACAGACTCAGGTACAGCCTGGAGATGATGTCCGTCAGAAAGCAGAAGTATGTTGAAAGTTTTACTTATAATTTTTTTTCTGTTTCATCTCCTCTTGTATTTTCGCATTATAAACGCAGAGGAAAAACGTTTCAGAGGAATCCCAGATGAGACGGTGAATCTTCAGTGGGTAAACATAACACAACGGTTTGCCTTAGTACTGAGAAATTTGTAGCTGGAATTGGACTGTAGTTGAACCTTTTTTGGACACCAGTATCCTCACGGCTTTCTCCTCTGCTTCCCCCTGCCTCTCCTTGCTCTGTTTACCTCCATCTCTCATCTCATTCAGCATCAAAGATGTTACTGAAGTTATTGATGGCTAAATTGGTCTGTTTTATCTACAGTCTTTCTAATGAGCACAAGTGATGTTCATCATGTCCTGTGTTCGAATAGTAGCTTCCAAACAATGTCATGTATTCACTAAACACTATGCCTGTAAGATCTGGTGTGTGAACAATAGTTGTGCGGGTTTAAGTGTTTTTAATGTTAGCGACAATACCAACATTAAAGTAATATTAACACTAATAAAATTGTTTATCCAAAGTATTTCAAAATATTTTTTTCACAAAGACTGAGTTTAAATATAAATTTAATTTTGCAATCAGTGGATTTTGGTGATCCTACTTGTTTCTTGCATTTTGATAATTTGACAAAATAAACTTGATTGTGTTTGCGCTTCTTTTTCTCTCTTCAGGAAATGCATTTTATGTTGTAGGCACTAGAGGGAGCATTCCACTCAGTCTCCACAATTTCCTGAGCTCAGGTGCATGTACAGTATATGTAAAGTCCATCTAAACTGACTGCCACACCAAGGCCAAGGGACTGGTGTGAAATATGACATGACTTTTGATGGGAGGGAAAAAAGCACAAAACAGGAGAAAGGGGAATAATTCCTCAACAAAGGCTCTGGGAGAAAAAAAATAAACTCCTGGACAGCTCCTCCATACCATCCAGACACACACATACTGTACATACATACAGTCCACACATCTGGAGTCCAGTACTGGTCTGGGCGGTTCTGTCACTGTGTTCTGACCCTCTCTCTAAATTTATCTGGCCTTGTCATCACGTGTGTCTCTCATATTTCTGCCGGCCGGCGGGACCGGCTAAGAATAGAAGAGCACTGACACAGATTAACACGCTGGTCTCTCTCTCCGTCACTCTCTTGAAAAACCAATTATATTCCATCTGTCAATCTAACAACCGTGAACCACCTCCTTCTCTGTGTGTCTCTTGACCTTTTCCTATGTTTGACTATGTTGACCTCATCCATTATAGTGTATGGACGAAGGGGGAGAGCAGAGAGGAGCTCACTGAGGAACCTGCAGTCCAAGTACATCGTTAGGACCACGATAATGAATGTAGGCTTTGATCTTTATTTGAAATATATTTGCTAAGCATTAAAGTGGTTGTGGTGGCAGCAAAATAACCGTTTTCTCTGTGTTTTTTTTTTTTTTAAGCAGTCAAAAGGGGTCGACACTGGGTTGCTGTATCCTCTTTACCCTCTCAATCTGGACCCCTGGACCCAGATTCTGTTGTCTTAGTTTCCCAGCAAGGCTTTCAAATACAGTTTACAACAACCTGCAAAAGACCCAAGTTTACAACCCGGAAATGTCCTTGCTATGAAACTTTATCTAAATCTATGAATGTGTACCAGTACAGATAAGAGTCCTTCAGTGACTCCTAAATGTCACATCTAAGTCCGGGAATCTCCTGGATATGTGGGGTTGTCCCTGAGAGAGAGTGTTGATCCAGCACTCTACAGCCGCCCAATCACAGATAGCTGACTGAAACTTGATTGGCTCATCTGCAGGGTTATTTAGGACAAGCATTGAAAGCATCCATTTACTTTTCCTCCATCTCTGTCTTCTTAGCTGTATGTAAATGTAAACTGACCGTGCTGATGTGTGCATGTTTTTGTCTTCAGGTCATATCAGTAAAAGTTTAGGTTTGGAAAAGTATGAGTATATCCTTGATTGCTGTCTTTAAAAAGCAACTTAGGTAACACAACTTGGATGAGTATTTAGATTAGCTAAATGCCAATGTAAACACACCTCACTGCTGCAGCTAACGCAAACAGACAAAACCAAGGCTACAGGCTAAAACACACCTGCTGAAGTTGAATAATTTAATCAGCTACTTGGCAAAAGCATCTGTATCACATGATCATCCTCAGCAGATGGAGTTTGCTCAGCTGTCAATGAAGATATTCAAGCTTAAAATTTTCTGAGCACGTTCAAGACTACAGAGATACCAAGTGGGGTTGTTTACTTTCTTCATTATTGCACTTATTGCATTGTTTGGAAAAAGGGTTACATGAGGGTACAGGGTTGGACATGAAAAACAGAAATAAACCAAAGCGACCACATCCTTCATTGTCACATTTGATATTGTAAAGCATATTCATTGGTTTTAGACCCACATCCTCCAAACCACTAAACCAAAGGCCTGGCCTCCCCAGCCAGGTGGAATTTCACATAGGATTACATGGCCTGAAGAAAAGCTGCCTCCCTATTTATGCATCTGTGTCAGCAGACAGTCTCTCCGTAATGTCAGTACATAATGCTGGATGTGAACAGCTGGGTAAACACAGGACGCTAGTGTGTCCACTGAAGTCAAGAGGTTTCATGACTTTTTGTTTAGCAGTCATTACCAAGAGCAGTTAAACACCATAAAGGTAGTAAGTGGAGAACAACATATCTCTACTGCATCATAGATATCTGGCTAAACACAGGAGATAGGTGTTATCTTTATTGTGGGCAGTCAGCCTGTCAAAGCAAAATTAACCTTCATCAAGGTGGTAAGTACACAGAGGGAGGGAGTGTGGTTCAGTGTGCACACATTATACTATGGCTGCTAGTGGAGTTGGATTCGTTAACAGTGAGTGGATACATGAATTTCTGTCTTTAGTCATGCCAGCAGCACTGTGAGCAGTGTTTTGAGCTAAAGGCTAATATCAGCATGCTTGATGATTAGCAGATATAATGTTTACCTTGTTAACCATGTAGTTTAGTATTAGCTGAGGGTGTTGAGAATGTCATAGTCCATGCAATAGTTGGACCAAGTCACAATGCTAGCATGGCTAAAAAATAACAATACATGTTTTGTTTTTTAAACACTTTAAATTTGATCTAAAATGCAAAACACCATTAAGTATTTATTACTCCTTATTTAAAGATATTTAAGTTATTTAGTTTAGTTTAGTTATTTATCTATTTATTGCTTGTTTTCTAAGATTATTATGCACACTACGACTTTATACTGCATGTTGTTATCAGCCTCTCTCGCCCCTCTTTTGCAGCCTCTTGCTATTAGTGAGATTTCTGTATTTTTGTGTTTTCTTTATGTTTGTCTCACATCAGTTGTTTGAAGTGGATGGGCTCTGGTGGAAAAATATAATTTATTTTCACACACCAAACAGAATTAAAAAAATAAATAATCAATAAAAAGATAATCATGAGATGAGAAGACATGACATGAGAATGTGATGATAGTCACACTGTTTGCTTTTGTTGTTTGTGTTGCCAAGGGAGATGCAAGTATCACTGAAATCAGAATGAAACACACCCAGACTGTCATGACGGTGACACAGGTTAAGAGTTTTTCAATGTCTGTGACTAATTTATGACTAAAGAGTTTTTTTTCTAACTATATCTTATAAAAGATTGATGTTAATGTAAAAATTGAAGTTTTCACACACTATTAAACAAAAAAATACTTTCATATTCTCTTTGTTCTGCACTTCATTGAGGGTTGAGTTTATGTTGAAAAGCAACCATGGTTTACACGGTGGAAAATCAAGTATGCCAAATTACCTATTAACAGTACCTTTTGATGATGTACCATTAAATCTACTGACAACTATCACTGAATTACTGTGATATTGTTGAAATCTTAAAGACCTAATGGTTCTCAGTTAAGTTCTGCAGCACTCAAATCCCTAGCCCAAGTGATCTACATTATCCTGTGTAGTTCTTGTGTACAGTAAAGAAATATATATTTGCTAAAATTTCCACATTTCTAAAAAACAATAGCCTGTTGAGGACATGACCTTGGTTCCTTGCCCAGGGCAATATTCTTGCTGGGGTGCAGAATTCTTTGTTACGCTCCTGTGTTCAGGCTACAGAAAGTAATTGTAAACTTATGTAACGGTAGTATACTTAAAAGAATATGTGCATTTGAAAACATGAAAATAAATGTTGTGAAATTAAAAAATAGTTTGCATGCTTGTGCAGTTGACCCAGCTGCGGCAGCCTCGGGCAGTATGAACTCCAGCGTGAGAAGAAAGAAGCTTCTTTGACGTCAGCCACGTTAGATTTCAGTAGTCCAAGATGGCGGAGGTGAGCGGGTTGAGGAGCAGAAATCACTTCGAGTCCAGCCGCAAAAGCCGAGTCGTTGACGAAGGTAAACCGCTGTTGATTTTGTCAAGTAGTGTGTATGAGAGTGAGTCGAAAAGGAGTACGAAGGTGAGGGGAGGGGAGTTAAAATGTAAAGTGTTTTTGTTTCTGTCGTCTTTGTCTTCGGCAAACTCTCGCTTTTCCGTTAGCCAGTGTTGTGTTGTCAGTTGGAGACCCGTGGTGTCCTGCCAAATGTGGTACCCCCGCTGGAACATGCCTCCTCTAATTCGTAATAATAGCGTAAACACAGCCCAAACTGTTTTAAGAATTAGCTAAATGGAGATACGTTTTTTTCAGTCTGCGCTTTCCCCGTGTGGAAACATGTTTTCTCTTCGGTACTCGGGCTGTAAACTGATTCTGACCCGGATATAAAATTCAAACGCGACACCTGTCGGCTCAGTTGTCCCGGCCGTCACTTTCACCTGGCCCACAGAGGACCAGCAGCTTGTCCGTAGTTTCTTGTTTCTGGATCCGTATTGCCTGTAGTTGGACAGTCACCCTGAATTGCCTTCAACTGCACAGTTTCTGAACTTTGAAACAGCTTACACCAGTTTCCTCTAACGGGTTTTCACATACGTTAATCTTCTCATCCCACTAATGACTCGGATATTTTTAAATGCCCTATTATTAGTCTGCTCAGTTTGCCAGAAGACTTATCCACGTAATTGCAAGGCTAATTATGTCCTCAACTACATACAAGTAGATATATTACTGTGTAGTATTTTAATATCAAATGACAAGTACTTATTCAAGGATAAGGTCACAATTTTACAAGTCTGTCTTTAAACACTAGTCAGGTGCCCATACTCTCACTGAAACAGGTTTTATTTGCTCTGGTCGTTGCTCCTGTTCCTACTGGCCATTAAAAGATCCCTTCCTATTTCACTTTCAATCTAAGTGATGGGGATAAAATCCACCACCTATCTGAAGCCAGTGTAAGGATTCAGCAGTCTGGGTGCGTAGGGTGTGTATGTAGGGCAGGGTATGCTAAAGAGGTGCAACAATAGTCAATTAATAGATTAGTCAATCAACACAAGATTTATTGGATTGTTATTTTAATCTTTTTTTAAGCAACAAATGTCAATAATATCCTCAAATATGAGGAAATATACTTTTCCTTGTCACACATGATAGTGAAACTAAAATGTGTGTTGTTTTTTTTTTGCTTTTGGTCAGACAAAAATGACATTTGAAGATGCCATCTCAATCTGGAACAAATTATTACAGGCACTTCACCATTTACTGTAATTTTATTGCTCAGCTTGACTATCTCAGACTGCTGAAGCCTTAAAATAATCATTGGCATACGTTTGTGCTCAGATTGAGGACTGTGAACCACTTGTATTGAAATGGGAACCTGACTACTGTTTTAAGACAGACTTGAATAATTGTGAACCTGTCATTTAATCACAACAAATGAACACATCACTCCTGATGCTGGCTTTTCTTGCATATGCACTTTGCAGTGTTGGTATGGTGTCTAACTAAACTTAATATTGAATATCACATGATAGATCTAGGTTTGTTAAAAATGTGGATATGATTAATTTCTGTTTTCCCAAGCTTTTCAAAGTAAATGTGATAACTAGTTCTTTGACTGGGCTTCTTAAATTTCAGTTTTAAGGTTGCTTTTAAGTATAAGGGTCAAAGTTTTCATTCAGAAACCACCAAATAAACAGTATATGTTGAGATCCATCTCCCCATCACAGTGCTGTCCTTGAACAGGATTTAAAGCATAGCAAAGCACATTGTAGAACCAAATAATTGGATTAATCAATTAGTCAACTGACAAAATTAATTGGCAACTACTTTGGTAATTCATTACTTGTTTAAGTTATTTTTCAAGCAAATATGCCTTAAAATTAGCTTGTTTTCCTGCTTCTAAATTGTGTGGCTTATCTTTTATCTTATGTGATAAACTGTTTACTCTTGAGTTTGGGACCTTGGGTAATACAAATTTGAAGATGTCAGCTTGTCCTGTTTCTTTTCTTTTTTCCTTTTTTTTAATCAACAGAACAATCTGCAGATTAAGCAATAAAGAGAATAATTGTCAGTTGCAGCTCCAGTGTGTTGTGATAACTCCTTTGGCAAATGGAGGAATGAAGGCCACTGCCAGTAACTATGTTTTACTATGGTATAAGAGAAAAACCATCCCTCTCCCCTGCCTTTATGTCAGGAAAGGGGAATAGAAATGGTGAAAAGAAATGTACTCTTGCACACTCTCTGCTTTAGTCTGTTCTTGTTACAGTTCTCTGAACCTTGTCAAGTCTGGTAAGCAAAGAGTGAATAATCATTCTCCAAGGCTCATCACTGATGTATGGAGTCCCTTATCATGATAACCCTTATGCCTACTTTCATACCAGTCAGCTGACTCTGTGGCAACAGCATTTACTAACCTCGTCTGCTCTTAATCTTGACTTTGTCCTCACAGACTCCCGATTGGCCTGCTTGCTGCAACTGAACATTTGCCCTCTTTGACTCGTGTCCAAAGAGGCCAAGTCAGGTTGTCTTTTGGTGTTGGTGTGCAGGGAAGTCAGTGTACCTGCATCTTAATAAGCTACAGTCGATCGCTCGCTCTCTTTCATAAACTCAGTCTCTGCAGTCTTGTTTTCTTCACATTGAATGAACAAATAAAGCCTGATCACAGGAAATTATTTTTTTCCAAATTATTTAAAATGCATAGCCTGGATGTCACAAGGCTAGAGGAGTATGTTGAAACCCTGCTTGAGAAGTTCTGGCATTAATGATCAGTGTTGCAACAGTAGAGAGGAGATTTTTGCATAAATTGTGCCTGCTTTCTAAACACTTAAAGTGCCAGTGCCAGCTCTCCCTTAAGAGCCAAATACTAACAGGGAATCAGCAAATATTTTACATAATCTTGCTTCCAGAGTATTTCTTTGTATGATGCAACTTTATTCCTAAAGGGTTGTTAATTTCGTAATTCCTACACTAAATCTCTTGAAAAAGCCAGGGAAATTGCCTCTAGAAGTGTGAAACCTCCCATATTTATACAGCTGCTCAAGTGAACCAAGGCCGTATCAAAGTCTACGTCAGGTGTAGTGCAGGAGTCCAGGGAAGGGAGATCTGATTTGGGACGCAGAGCTGAGATATAGGGTAGCTTGCATAGACGTACACTATTCTTGCCATGCATAGTTAAAGATAGACGGCCATCTGAAATAAGAGGGGATTTGTGCGCGTTGTACTCCACAGACTCATCTCATCCCTTGGTAACATTAAGTGTGGAGTGTATGGGCAGGAAAACATGTAGGCCAGTTAACATCTACTCAGTCCCTCCATAAGATTGAAAAATAAGGTGGCTAATTTTAGTTCCGCCCTCATTTTCTACAAGCTGAGTAGGACAGTGCATCATCCACTTTATGATGAAGTGTGAGTGTATTAGTGAGTGCACATATCAGCAAAGCTAATGGTTTTTCACAGGCTGTTATGCTTCCTAGCATGCTTATTGTGTTTTTTTTTTCTCTCACACATTCTGCTGCAACACAGACTCCTTGCAGTCCAGGCAGAATAGTGTCTTTGTGTGGGTCTCTTCTATGGCTGCAGTCTGTGCCACTTCATCCTGCTGAGTGCTGCTCTGGGTTTGATGGGAACCTGCACTGCCACAGATTGAGGGAACGTGCAGGGCTAATTTGTGTGCTGAGCAGATTACTGTAACTGCCCAGTTCTTACAGCAGCATAGCACTGCTGCTGCCCTTTGGGAGTTTGCAGCACCTCCAGGTTGATTTGTGAATGTCCACTTTTAAAGTTGTCCCTTTGAGAATGAATATCAATTATTTTTTACTATTAATCATTTAGTCTATAAAATGTTTAAAATTTTGAAGTAAAGAAAAAAAAGCAATTTGATGGCTTTAATCTGGAACCACAAGAACTTGTTAGTCATTTTAAAATCCAAACGACTAAATGAGAAAATAACCTTCAGATTAGATGATAACCAAACATTCTTTAGTCCCACCTGTATGGATGGTGTGTGGATACACATGACCTTTTTAGTATTGTCTGAAAGTGTGTTCGTGGCAGGTGGTGCTTAATGTATGTTGTCTTGATGTGCTATCCAAATTTGTTTGTTCACAAGTGTTTTTATGTCCTTGCCAAATTTTATTTCTTACTACTGTTGGATACAGGTGGTGTATCCAAGGTGTTTTTAAGTAACAATAACAGCTCATAGCAATCTGTTGCACTGGTTTCTTTAGCTTTGTAAATTTGCCAAATGTTTGGATTTTCTATTGACATTAGTGACTTAAGGTACAGGCCCTGTGCTTATCAAAGATGGCAACCAAATTGGAAGGCATCATTCCTGCTGCTTTGCCGAAACCTAATTTGTATGTGGTGGTGCCACAACCTAGTACAGCTGAATGACTAATCATTTAAGTATTTGAATGAGCAATGTGTAATACTTGTTGTCCTACCTGTTCAGTAGACTCTGTCAGGTATGTGGCCACTTCAGTCATTTTCATCTGCACCAGTGGTTTCTTTAGCTGTAAAGGATGTGAACAAATGTTTTCCTTCAGTACAGAAAGCAGGGAACTTGGGTAAACAGTGATAATCTTTCAGGCAAAACAGCATTTTTTTCAAGCGGCTTTGTGTTAATAATGTAGAATGATGTAGAACTGCATCGCTTAATCGAGCAACAGAAATTAATCTGCAAGTATTTTTGATAATCAATTAGTCATACTTCAAGCAAAAAACCAAAAATGTATTTTATTTTTTGTTCCAGGTTCTCAATTGTGAGCTGCTTCTTTTTATCTCATGTGATATTAAACTGAGTACCTTTTGGGTCTTGGACTGTTGGCTGGACAAAACAAGACATTTGAAGATGCCATGCTGGGCTTTAGGGAAAGAAATTTTATAAACCAAACAATTAATTGCTTGATCAAGAAAATAATCATCAGATTCATTAATTATTAAAATAGTTAGATTAATGAATGAATTGTGATTGACAGTTTCACCGTTTTATGGACCAAACAATTACTCGATTAAATGATCTGCAATCTGATAGAAAAATAATCATTAGTTGAAGCCCTAAAACTAATGCCACCAAGACGAGCTCCTCATCTGCATCCATTACAGTTTGTGGTTCAGCGTACTCACTTATACTGCTGCTGTGGCACTGTGACAGGGACGGAGGATGACACTTAATGTGCCGTAGATTTAAGGGAAAGACCTTCACAAACACAGCAGAAAAACAGGGAACAAAAATGTGAAAATGCTGTCCTTGTAGCTTCCTTTTCTTGTGTCCTTTTTCAGTACAAGGCTATTTTCAAGCTTGACCTAGATGGGTAGACCAGAGTGGATAAAAGTATTTAGCCCAGCACAGTATGCTGGAAAGATTCCTGTCCACAATTTGACCCATGTAGGGCATTACACTTTCTCTTTAACTCAAAACAATAGTCTGTCTCTCACATAACCAAACTTATTACAATGAAACGCATTCCTTAGAAAAGCAATTTTTGGTCTTGCCACATAAACCTGGCTCTACATTCTTCTCCTCCTTCTCACTTTACATCCATCATGCAGCATGTAGTTGTCTAACCAGTGTAATTTTATCTTTCTCTACTTTGTGTTTTTATCCTAAGGCTTGAGTGGTGTGGAAGATGTTCCCATTTTTCGGCATAAACAGAAGCCTCCTTTAGCCAAGTCCGAAGACCTGGATGATGAATTTTTTCCCAGGAGCATGGCCTCAAACTCGGGCAAAAATACCAGCCTCACTCCCTCACCAGATGAAGGGATTCACGAAGACGAGGTGAAGTGTTAATGTGTTTCCTGCCGCATTCTTGTCTGCTGACAAGCATGTATATCATATTTAAGTAAGATCTGATTTAGCTGTAGCTTAAAGTCTCTGCTTAAAATGTATGGTTTGTAATCACAAATGAAAATATGAAGTACAGAGAGAAAAAAGAAAAAAAGACAGTCCAATTAAATGTTCTCCATTTACCATCTGTTAAAGGCAATTGGTGGTGCAACTAATGGTTAATTTTAATATTACTTATTACTTATTAAAAACCTGATATTTATGGAAGATAATTTCTCAGTCAATGATTTTTTTTTTTTTTTTTAGACCCACAGTCCAAAACTCTAAGATACTTGCTTCACTATAATATAAGCATCAGAGGTTTGAAGAATTGGAGAAGCTGAAAACTATCAAACATTGACATTTTTGCTTCAAAAGCTAAGCGATTAAGCTCTAAAATAAATCCTGTAAACGGATTGGAAAAGGAAATGAGAACAAAGAAGGTGAAATCTGTATGAACAAAAATCTGTGGGAAGTATTACATATATGCAGTTATTTTGCCAAAGCAAGTCAATGATCACACTGCAACCTTCTAGTGATAATAGCTTAAAGACTAGTCAGAGGTGTTACCAGCAGAAAAAAAGAAAGTTCCTGTGTTTTTAAAAGGTGTGTATATTTTCAGGGAAAAATAAAATATTCTGCCATTCCATCTGTGAAAATCCTAGCTGTGTCTTTGCTTTATGTCAGACTCCTGTGTTTTCTTTGCCTTGCTTTCTTCCTGTTGCTTTGTTGGCTGATCTCAGTGCTGTAATTTTGAGTTCATGAAATTTGCCTTGTCAGCACAGTGTTATCACATTAACCACTCTCTATGCCTTGGAGAGCTCTGACTGATTGCAAACTAATGTCTTCAGGCTGTAATAGAGGACGAAAAGGCCAGGCCCATCCAGATTGTCTTGGCCAATGAGGATGAGCACAGCTTTGAGTTGGATGCTGCAGCACTGGAGAAAATCCTGCTGCAAGATCACGTGAAGGACCTAAATGTGGTGGTCGTGTCTGTGGCAGGGGCCTTCCGCAAGGGCAAGTCCTTCCTGCTGGACTTCATGCTGCGATACATGCACAATCAGGTGAGATAAGGTGTGGTTTTCATACTGTTGCTGGACACACATGTAGCTACTTTCTCGGGGAAGGGGAGACTAGGGCGGTTGCAACACTTTTCTGATTTCTCTGTTACTCAGAGACTAGATCAACCAAACTAAGGTTTAAAAACTTAATTAAGCTTATACCTGTCTGCTAATCACCCATACCCATATTTAAAGATGATTACATATGACAGATTATTCACAATATTTCTTTGAATGGAAGAATTCAGACATCGCAACCATCCCCAGTTTCCCCTTCACCTGTAAAATCTAATGCAAGCCAATATAACAGCCCTGCCATAAAATCTATATCTATCTTCACAAAGCACACAATGTCAGTTTTTGTTGACATGGTTGTAAAAATGTGTAAATTTAATTCTAAATTTGTAACTGAAGTCATAGTAAATTTTGGTGTTGTTCTGGCCTATGTTATATTTAGAGCTGTTTCCATTTTTTTGTCCTCCCTATTTACAAATATGGGGGGCAGAAGATTAGAAGGACATCTCAGTATATTGCAGCTCAGTATGACACCACCATTTACTATGACATCAATGCTAAAAGATAATGTTACCAACTGAATATATTATAAGCATCATAAAAGTAGACTTTATGTCAAAACAGTTGTATCATATTGCATTACAGTGTCAGTGAGATCAGTCAAAGCAATTATTCCTATTTGTACCAGTTGTAGAAGTCCCCTGCCGGAGGTATGTTTATGTGCTAAGTAAATCTACAACAGCTCGTCCCTCCTGTGGGGCTTAATATTTTGTAACACTGGCAGTCAGTTGAGATTGTGAAAACAGGTGGGCTAGATGTGCAGTAGATGAGATGACAGATAGTACTAGCATGTGTAGCAGATTGTGACAAGCAAAGACAAGTGCCTTCTGTTGGGTCTCATACTGAGACACTTACTCAGCCAGGTGAGTAAGACATGCAGCAAGGTGCATGAATAAAACAGGGCAGTTTAACAGGTCTCCACCTGTTGGGTTGGTTAGTCTTGTACTATTCTTTATAATTAAATTGTCAAATGACTTGATGAGTTTCAGTTTAATACAAGCAAGTTTGTGTTGTTACTGGCCTTTTAAAGTGACATCTGATTTACACAAAGTGGTACATACCGACACAGGTCATACGCACACACACAGGCGCACTATTTTGCAGGTCTATCTGACAACTTTGTGCGACACAACATCAACAACTAGTCCTTCAGCCCTTGTAGCAGCGGCTCGACACACAGAAGCAGCCAGGATCACCTTACACTCACTTGCATACACACACAGGAAAGACGGAGGAATGTTATGACCCTTTCTCACAGCTGTTGGGCAGCATGAACATGGGCATTCATGCAAGTCTGACCAGATCTGCATGTGTTCACATTTTTCTCAAACACTGAGGCTATTTATCCAGCCTGTGCTTCTTTATATTGAATTATATACAGCAGTAAGTGTTATAAATTGTATTTACAGACGTGTGTTTACGTGGAGTCATAAGATTGTTGGTTAGTTTTGTAAGAGAGGAAACAGGAATCAGTGTTGTTTATTTTGCCTTGCAAATCAGGTATTTGCTTTTGAGGCTTGTTTATACATTTGCTGTTTGTGGTCAGTGGCTCTCCCAGTATGTCAGCCAGAAATACAGACAAGGTCACAAAGTATTCCTTTTAGTTGAAACTTTTTTTTTTGTCTGGATTTTAGGAGGAGTGACAAAGTGGTCACCAAGATGACAATTTTAGACAAAAAAATATTAAATCCTTTTCTGAATCGGTCCCCTGTTACTGTGTAGACAACAGGGTAGTTATATAAGACTTGTAAAATATGGTCTGATGATGCTGTTAGATTCCACCAAAATCAATATATTTTTTTTTCTCTGTTGTGTGCATTTGCAGATAAAATTTCACAGACTTTGGAAACATTGTGGTCACAGACAAACAAACGCACTTTTCTCTGATATAGGTGATTAAAATACAGCACAACACTACAATACATTATTTCACCACAAGTACCTGAAAAGTTACATTTTCCCTAATCTAAGCCAAATGCTGGTGAACATCAGGCCATTGACCTTTGGCCTTTTTTTCACTCCTCTCATACCATTATCCCTCCTCCTCCTCTCCATAATCTCTGTCTCTTCTTTCTGCCACACCTCATCTGTTTTCTCAATCCCTGTGGATTTTCCTCCTTTTGCTGCCTCAACCAATCCTCATTTCATCCTCTATTTCTCTTTCTTCTCATATTACCCCCTCCCCCTTCCCTCTGCCACAGAGTGAGAAGTGGATTGGGGGTGATGATGAGCCCCTGACAGGGTTCACCTGGAGAGGGGGCTGCGAGAGGGAGACCACAGGAATTCAGATCTGGAGCGAAGTGTTTGTGGTCGACAAGCCAGACGGCAGCAAGGTAGACAGTTAACAAACAACATGGTCCTGAAATGAACTTCATGTGAAAATGCTCTAAATGTTGCTAGAGATGGTTAAAAAGTATCTTTGGGAAATATTAGATTTGTATTCTCATTGTAATGTTGACATGTATAAGAATTGGAAAGCAAATACATATAAAACACACCCTGCTTGATGTACAAGATGAAGTTAGCAGTATAATACATTTGTTGTATCTTGTCCCAACAGGTAGCCGTACTCCTTGTTGATACTCAGGGAGCGTTTGACAGTCAGTCCACCATAAAGGACTGTGCTACTGTATTTGCCCTCAGCACAATGACCAGCTCTGTACAGGTGGGAATCAAAGCATGTTTTGTTTGGAAAATATGCTGTAAATTTTTTTTCTCTTAAAATTACAACATTTATGTTTCATGTTTTCTGTATTTCTTTGTTTTTCAGGTGTACAATCTCTCCCAGAACATACAGGAGGATGACCTGCAACATCTGCAGGTTAGTGTAATTTTTTCTCCCTCCAGGAAAAAGCAGCAGCAAAGTCTGTTACACTGTCGTCTGTTTTCTGATTATAATTTGTTTTTCTCTCATATGTAGCTCTTCACAGAATATGGTCGGCTGGCAATGGAAGAGATCTACCTGAAACCTTTCCAGGTACTGACTGCTTCTGTTGACTGTGTACATGCAGGTAGTGGGGACATTTGTATAGTCCTATGAATGAATGAATGAATGCATAGACCACTGAACGTGCACCCAGTCAAGAAATTTAGCTGTACAGTTAAATGAGGCTGCACAGCAAATATTTTTTGTAATGAATAATATAAGGGGATTAATAAATGTCAGTAGAGGTGAGAAATTTAATTTCTATTTGGATGGACCCTGTAACTGAAAAGACCAAAGGTATAGACAACAAGTACATTTTTTTTTTTTTTTTTTTTTTTTTTTTAAATTTTTAAAAAAAAAAATACTTTTATAATTTTTTAAATATTTAAGAAATCAGATCACTTGATCAATTCTTAACTGTAATTTTTCCCCAAAATCAAATAATGTTGCTTGTGTTTCAGTCCTTGATGTTCCTGATTCGGGACTGGAGTTATCCTTATGAACATTACTATGGCCTGGAAGGAGGCAACACCTTCCTGGAGAAGAGACTACAGGTGAGAATATAATCCCTCTACACATTGTTGAAGATATTTATGCAGCAGGTCACATGCTCACTGTTCCTGCCAGACACACCGCACCTCTTTTTGAAAAGCACAGACATACTTAATGACATTGTCTGTTTTGGTGTGCACACATTTGCTTAGTGCAACATGTGTGTAAACAGTCAAATCAGTCAATGACACAGACAAGCATACACTTTCCCTGTGAAGAGTATATTGTTTTCCACTGACACAGGTAAAACAGAATCAACATGAAGAGTTGCAAAATGTCAGGAAGCACATCCACTCCTGCTTCTCTAACATCGGCTGCTTCCTGCTGCCACATCCTGGCCTCAAGGTGGCCACCAACCCGTACTTTGACGGGAGGCTGAAAGGTGAGAAAACAGGCACATACACATGTACTAATGAATAAATAATCAAAAGTGGTGGCTAAAGACTGCCTGACTGAAATGCCATGCTGCGATGGGACAATCAGGGTGCATGTTTGTGTGTTTCAGACATTGATGGTGATTTTAAGAGGGAGTTGGCTGAGCTGGTGCCTCTCCTCCTCGCCCCAGAACGACTGGTAGAGAAAGAGATCGGAGGCAATAAAGTCACCTGCAGAGATCTCCTGGAGTACTTTAAGGTCCTGCTGAGTTTTACTAGTCCACTACCAGTGGTTTTCACAGTGATAGGTCACAGGTTGATAAATGTAAAGCCTCAAATTATACACTCTGCTGCCTAGTCTGCTAACACAGAATTAGTCATTTACAGAAGAAATAAGCATAAGCTTTAGGGTTAATAAATGACACAAAACTGGTTGTGATCTTTAGCCACAGTGGACTCTGAAATCCTGTAAACTGTGGCATTCTGCAGAGAAAAGGACCATCAGATAATGGTTTCAAAAGCCTGGTTTAGTTTGAGACAGACACACAATAAGTGCAAGTAACATAGGTGTGTTTATTCCGACTTGCAGTGAATAACGTTTCAGTGTTTGTCAGTATTACACCAGTTTTTGCTTTAAGTATTGTTAGGTTTTTACTGTGTTATCTGCCAGAATATTAACGTTGTACATGAAACACTGTAGTGATAATCTATTATTTTACATTCCTACAGGCTTACATAAAGATCTACCAAGGTGAGGAGCTGCCTCACCCAAAGTCCATGCTGCAGGTTAGTTTTGGTCTCAAAACTGAGGGGTCTTATTAAGTATGGGTCACATTTTTTAGGTTTTAATTCTCATCTTGAAACTCATTGTCTCTTCCTGTTTCTCAGGCAACAGCAGAAGCCAACAACCTGACCGCTGTTGCAGGAGCCAAAGACATGTACGGCAAGAACATGGAGCTGGTAGGGACATGTCTTTCTCACACAATCCTCATGAATCACAAACAGTTAAATAACCCAAAGATAGCTGTAGTCCAGGGACCACAAGATGTCATTTGAAAGACAGCAGGGTGTAGTCGTGGTCTACTTTAACTATTGTTTACGGGAAGCTTGCAGCACACTGGCAGAGTAGCTCAACTCATGTAATACAGTACAAAAAATCCTGCAAAATACAGCCTAGTGAATTTCCTAGTTGCATGCTTCTGCAAAGTTTGAAACCATCTTTGTTTTGTCTTTTGTCTTCTTCTCTTCTGTCAGTCACTCTTCTCTTCACTCTCGTCACTTTTACTGACATGTGCTGATGTTCCTTCCCAGATCTGTGGCGGGGACAAGCCATACATCGCCCCAGCTGACCTGGAGCGTTGCCACGAGGAATTTCGCGAGCACTCGGTGCGTTACTTTCGGTCCGTGAAGAAAATGGGTGGCGATGAGTTCTGCCAGCGCTACCAGAACCAACTGGAGTCTGAGCTGGACGAGGCCTTCACCAACTTCTCCAAACACAACGACGGCAAAAACATCTTCTATGCAGCACGCACACCAGCCACGCTGTTTGCAGTCATGTTTGTCACCTATGTGGTATCTGGGGTGACGGGCTTCATCGGTCTGAGCACCTTAGCGGTGCTGGCTAATCTGGTCATGGGCGTGGCGCTGCTGTCGCTCTGCGCCTGGGCGTATGTGAAGTATTCTGGAGAGTTCCGGGAGGTGGGAACGATGATAGATCTGGTGGCCGAGACACTCTGGGAACAGGTGGGTAGTCGATGTGAGAGTGTGTGCGGGTTTGTGGGTTATTTTCAAAGATTAGAGTTAGCTTATGTTATGTGTTCATGTTGTTTTCAATAAAATAAAAACCTTATTCCACTGTGTAATGTAAGGATAGAGATTTAACCAAAAATGTGTTGTAGTGTGCATTTCTCTAATGTGATCATAAACTGTGGACGTTTTGTTTTTCTTAATTTCTTTTGTGTTTTTATCGTTTGTGAAATGCTGTTGTGTTGAAGGACCATCACTGCATTCATAAACTTAATCCAACCTGAGGAAAAAGGAGATTAATTTTGGTTTGGGTTGAAGTCAAAGCTTAAGATACATTACTAAGATATTGTAAGTTTTTAATGAGCGACATGGTTTTAAATTGAATTTGCTTTCTCAGAGGATATAACGATATATTTTGCATGTGTGTAGATGTCATTGTTTTCTACTGTAGTTTTATATTAGTTTGATTTTATTTGAAGTTCCCTTTGTTGCCTTTTTATTTGTAGGTGTTGAAAAAGTCTGAGAAACAAGAATCCTATCAGTTTTCCTTCTGCTGCATCTCATCATGCATCTTACCAAATCTAAAGAGCCATTGTTTCATTTCACCTCTCACTGCTCCCTCCTGAATCTCTGTCAGCACCCTTATTTTTCTCTCATTCTGTCGTCTTTCCTTGTTCAGTTGTTGACAACAAATTTAGTCAGTGTGTTTGTGTTTCTTATCTTTCTGGAGTTTTATCAGTGTTTGGGATCCACCACAAACTTAGCCCTCATGTCTCCTCTGACTTCTCCCTCCTTCCTCTGCTTTTGTCCCCCCCCCCGCTATACAGAAGACGGTTAGAAAGGTGAGAGGCGCCGGTTCCTGTTTCTCTGCCGTTTTCAACATCTTGCCTGATTTCCTGCATTTCCCTTTTCTTTACTCTCTCTTCCCCTCCACCTCCTTCAGCCAGCAGCCTTTACTTTATTCTTTTTGTTGTTTTGTATGGTTCGAGATCACACCCCCTTTTTTCACTCTTTATCAACATTAAGCATTTCCAGCTCATTTTCTTAACGACCTCTGTCCGCAGAGAAACACCCGAAAAACATGAAAACAGCAAAATCTCTTATTTTCATTCCTTTTTTTTTTTTTTTTTTTATTAAGATTATTTAAGAACAAAACTGCATCACAGCCAACACCTGGTAAAAAGTGGGACTGAGAAAATCATTATTTCATGGCCAAAGCAGCATAAATACAGGATAATGACAACAGCTGCACTGCGTCATACTCAGTCTCTCCTCCTTTCTTTTTTTACGTTTTTATCATTTTTCTTCCCCCGAAACTTCTTTTGTCCTCTCTGCTCCACTGTCTGTCTGTCTGTCTGTCTGTCTGTCCTGTTCCTTGTTTAACTCTCTCCTGTCCTCTCAGGTGCTTTCCAAACTTTTGGAGCCTGTCGCAAGCCGCCTGGCGTGGCCCGCCTCTCTCCTCCCTTCACTCCCTTCAGGATTGACACTGGGACTCAGAGCTCTGACTCCTCTCAACAACAACAACTACAAGAAGACTAACTAGCTGCTGGCCAACTGGCGGATTTATAGACTAAACTTGCTTCTCATATTGAAACACCTGCAGTTTGCTGGCTTCCTTGTTCATTTTCAGCCCATGGTGCTGGATTCTTACACTTTAACCTCTGGGTGTGGACACACATCCTCTGAATACTGACAGGCCAGAATCATCTCAGGAGCTCGAGGACATGGAACCTGCCCAAACGGTTTTTAATAATCTTATTCTGATGAATATGGAAAGGGTTGTGGCTTATCTTTTATTTACTCTTTTCAGTTGAAGAGGGTTTTGTTCAGTTGTGTTGTGACTTGTTTTGTTCAAGAAGCTGCGTGGTCTGTGGTCAGCATGTTGGTCTACAGCCTGTTTTTGTTACATTTATTTTACCATTAACATTTTTCCTCCCTAACCTACTTTCTTTGTCCCCTTTATTGACTTGTTTTAAGTTAAGTTCATTTGTTCTCACAAAATCCTCTTTGTCTCTCTTCTGCTGCAGGTTTTGAAGCCGCTAAGTGAACATTATATGGAAGACAACGTCAGACAGACGGTGGTTAACTCTATCAGAGCCAGCTTGACAGAACAGGGATCGCAGCACACCAAGTTAAAGACTCACTGACACTCTTCCTCATCCTCCTCATCTCCCCCGTCATGTTCATCACCCCTCGCCCACTCGCTCAATGTGTTCAGTCCTAGAACTGTGGAACTAGTTCAACACCAAAGCTGACCCTCTTTTCCTCCCCCTCCACAAACACCCATCATGACATCACTGACCCGTTTTTACATGAGCAGCATGGACCTGTAGGCTCGCTGTCTGTCCTGCTCTTCATCGCCCCCCAGTGCCTCAGAGCAGAAACTGCACGTTCATGAGAGGACCGAGCAGAGAAGCCGGCAGCGCTGCCTCTTGCCAAAACAGGACCTGAAGGAAGGTCATCGTCTCCTGTGTGCCACGCTGTGATAGATGCTGTAATGCACACTGTAGGCTGACTGACACACACACACGCACACACACACACACACACACACACACACGTTTGCTGGTAGCGGACTGCAATCGCTTCAGGATTGTTTGCTGTAATTCAGGGAAAACTGACACCGCTGTGGGCAGCTGTTATCAACAATGGATGCAAACTGAAACTGACCTTTGTGTGCATTTAATCATTTTGTCTTGCAGGCTGGACAGTTCAGAGCTCAGCTTACGTTTTCTTCAGCCTGTTAAATAACATTTCCTACAAGCACAAGTGACTAATCAACTGAGAAAACTAAAAATGAGGTGATGGTTTTCTTTTTTTCCTTTCAGTTAAATCAGGAAACGGATTTAATTTATTCTACTGAAGTAAAGGTAAACAGTTCTTGTCATGGACAAACTGGAGAGGCTATTTTAACAGTCAAATTTCCGGCCTGTCCTGTCCTGGCACGTTGATCTGTCTCCTACAAATCTGAAATGAACAGATGAGTGCAAGAAATCAAATCAAAGTCTATTATTTTTTCTTCTGACATATAAATAGCTCACTTGCCTGCCTCCATTCATTCAGTTACTCGACAGTAAACTTTGCAGGTGTGTTAAGCAGGTAAATTTGTATAATCAAACTGGGCTCAGGTTGCTTCTAGACAGAACATCTGTACACATCTGTCTTTCCCTTTAATACTTTGCGATTGTAATACTGAAGAGAACTGTAGGAAGCCACGGGCCTCTCGGCTGAACTTTTTGGTCTGTTTTTATTTTAGAACTGACGTGTTTTATCTGACCTTTAGTGACTCATAGCAGACCTGCCAGTGTTTGGCCCTCTGCATGGTGTTAAGAGCTACTGTGTTGTAGCATTAAGCTAGGTATGAGCTTTTAGAGCCCAGCTATAGTCAGAGCAGTCAGAGTGTTGTCATTTTGAACCATTTTCTCCTTCACTGCCTTGCATTAAATCGGCACTAGCTCTGGCTGCTTCTCTTTGCATTTTTAGGATCTGCAGGCTGTAAGTTTGATTCTTTCTTTTGGGGGATTAGAAACGTAGATCTTTTTTAGGTGAAACCCCTATTAAAGGAATAGCTTGACACTTTGGAAAATGTTTATTTGCTTTCTTGGTGAGAGTTAAATAAGATCGATACCACTCATATCTGTAGAATGAATACGAAGCTATATCCAGCAGCCACTTAGCTTGGATTACCCTGCGATTACCTTTATGCTAAGCTAATGGCTACAGTTTGTGTTTAATTGACAGAAATGAGAGTGGTATTAGTGGTCTAATCTAATTCGGCATGAAAGCGAATAATCATATTTCCCAAAATATTGAACTATTCCTTTTACTGACAACAGATCACCTGACTCTTACCCTCCTCAGTGAATTATACAGTCGGTTCTCCATCAGAGCTGAAGTTCCCAAAAGCAGCTTGATTTAACAGGAATCTGACTTCATGAAGAACCCTCCCCCTTTTATATTTTAGTGAACACACTAACAGCTGCATCACATCTGTCTGAGCTCTTTTGCATTGATTCCATCCACAGTATTTCTCACCTCAAGCGCCAGTCTCGTACTGTACAGTCTCTCTTTTTCTGTGTTCACATATTACAGACAGGGCATGTATGTTGGATTAAATATTTAAATAAACTTTGTATACATTTTATAGCGAATCAGTTGACAGTGGCTGTTTTTTTTTTTCCTCTCTTGATCGACTAAACAGTCTGTGGTTTGTTAGAGAATGATAAGTTGCTGCTGTAGGGTTTACATTAGTTTTCTCCCTTTCACAAGGATGGACGTAAATAGAAACACGTGTGAATATTTGGATTCTGGTAGGAAAGTGTTTTGATTCTGGCGAGTGGGTTGGAGACGATGTCTGTCTGCCTTTTAAAGATATCTCTGGTAATTTATTTTTGAATAAAATGTTTACCTTAAGAATAAATCATCAATACAATCCTTTTGGCTCCTTTTTGTTTGTTATTTTAGATCATGTCTTTGAAGAGACGCAAAGAGCAGTTAGTCACACTTCAGTTCGTTTGTTTTTTCTCCATTGCTTAAACACTTTAAAAACACAAAAGCACAATCATCAAAGCCATTCCTCTTGTTCTCTAAACCAGTTTCTGCACAAATCTTAGCGTCACATTTTCACTGCAAGAATCAACAGCACTGTTTGTCAAACAAAAAACACAATGCATCACATTTCTAAGCAGTTACTTACATGTTTCCTGTAGGAAAACAATAACTGAACTGCTTATTGTGCTTTCCATAATAATGGGATTATAACAAAGAACAGAAGTGATCTGTACAATTGTTAATTCACTGACTTTATAGTTGTTGCATCTTAACTATTAAGAAACAAAGTTCCTTAATGTCTTGTCTTTGATGTTTAATTACCATTTTTTATGAGAATATATACTGAATAAAATAATTGAAATTAATAATCTAAAACTGATGTTGGCATAATCGTATTTCAGACCTGAGTAATATCTGCAGGTAATCCCCTCAGGCTGCTTAGAGCTGTGTGGAAATGTTTGGGCACCCTTTGGCAAATTTCATATTTCGTACAGTGTATTTAAGTTTTTTTAAGTTCATGAAATTAAACTTAACTGTGTTGGAAAACGGTTCGTTTTTAATGTCTGTACAACGTGGGTCAGACCAGATTTTCTGCAGCCTGGTGGTGCTGTTGACTACACACACCGAGGACACCAGCTACAGGAACCACTGAAGTCCAGTGTTATATAAAGGTGGTGCTGATGGCGAAGGGCCACGAGACCATTAACATGAGCTCACCTGAGCAGAGTCTGAGCTCGGCCCTGCACCAGGTAAACATGATGGCAGCAGATCATTATAAGTGTGTGTTATGTTTGTGCCGTTTTTGGTGTGTTTACAGTATTGCAGTTGGTGGTAGGGTTGTGCCGATGGATGACGATATCAGTGATCGACGATCGCCTATTGCTCATGCCTTTGCAAATGTCAAGACGATATTTGACTTGTTTTCCCATGAATATAGCAACTTATTATTTGTTGTATTAAATTAATACTGCTTTTTCTGGCTGTAAATAGATATTCTGAAATCAATCAGGGAGAGAGGCAGCAAAATGGGAAACTCCAGGGCCACGGGCAGATGTTTTAAGTTGGCGGTGCTGTAGTGGGAGGAACATTTTTGCAAATATATGTTGGAGCTTAACTTAAAAATTAACGTAAAAATTCATATTCGGTGTCTCTCCATACAAATACAACATAGGCCTACAACAATGCCACTATAACACAGACCAAAACAACAACAACAAAAACAACAATAAGGTCTATAAAACACAGAAACGCAATAATGCCATGGCTTCGCAATACGCATCCCATTGCGCACGGCACACAAGACCATATCCAAATATGCACATTTTTTTCAACGACGGTTAGTTGCTAGTGTGATGAAATATATTGTCAATGGACTATTAAACTGCTCGGCGGCAGCTTATAATAAACCAAATATCTTACCTTGAGCTGCAGACAGTGCGCCCCAGTAGTTACAATGATCCAAAGGTGGCCTTGCGCTTGGGCGTTGGGTGTGGATGGGGCATGGATGTCCAATGAGTTCAAAATGTCACTGTGGACATGCATCATGGAGAGGTGAGTTAGTCTCTTCTGGGTCACGGTGTTGATGCAATGTTTTCAAGTGAAGCAAGGTGGAGAAGGTCGGCTGGATGAGGCCACAGAGATGGGCAGGCGCAGACCAGTATTCCACCAGGTGTAGTGAAAAACCTGAAGGCGAACCAAGTTGTGGTGTAAGGAAAATTGAAGTTAGATGGCTGGAAAAGCTCCTCAAATGCCGCCAAGTCGGTCCTAGCCAGACACCTGGTAGTAGCAGGCCCCTCAGTGGCGGCGGCTCATTCTCCGGTCGGTGCTGTCGGCTGCGGTCTCCGTCTCGGACACAAAAGTAAAACCAAACGAAAGCGATGGAGTGCTGGTCGTGCTGCTGTCCTGGGCAGGCTGGACTTCAACTGGACTCCTTTTTAGATGGTGGTTTGCCCAAAAAATCTAAAATGCATTTTGCACCATTATGAATTAATCCTTGGCCCAATCCCAATGTCCCCCCTAAACCCTGAACCCTCACAGACTTAATTGATATCACCTGGTGAGTGATTGAGTGCGACGGGCTGCAAGGGCTCCCCTAATAACCATGGTAACCCCGTGTTTAATGTCACAACTAGCCACCCTTCCCGTATAACACGAGATCGTCCCGTATTTGAAAATAAAGGCTGGGGCATAAAAAGATAATGGATGATAACAAGTAAAACAAAGCTTCAATTATAGAAAACAGTCATTTAAAATATCCTCATGGCTGCTCATAACTACAATAGTCTCTTATAAACAATTGATTACGTGTTTGCAAATAGTTAGTCTTGTTTGGTTTGTTTCCGAGTTAAATGCATCGTGCTGATAATGAGAGGAAGAGAGCTGGCTTCGTTTTATAAAGGTCATTAAGAGGTTACTGAGGAAGAGGAGAGGCTGCGTTTTTCTGTCACAAACACTGAGGCATCTCCATGTGTCCTGGACAGTTAACTTCATTACTCAGTCACATGCAGAGGCAGCACAAGGAAAGAATCAGCTGTTATCAGCCGAGGAACGCTGCTGAATGAAGCAGCGGTGGAATGTAGCACGTGTTGAAGAATAAATCTGAGCAACTTGTACTTTTCTTTTACTCCTCCATCACTCGAATCAAGTGAAGAGCTGTTTGTTTGAATCAGCAGTGACCTGTTCACCTGATGTTGCCGGTGTGTCCAGATTTTTATATCACAGACAAAATTCTTCACCACCAGACAATCTCCATCTTTATCAGCAGTGTGTCTCCAGAAATGACCAACAGGAGGAGCCAGACTCTTAAAAATACACTGTTTTATTTTATCACAGAAGTGTTTCAACTGCAATGTAAGTAACATTTTAATGGTCAGTTCCCTCCCCATATCAACCAGGACACCCAGTATGGAAGAACAGACCAATGTGGTGCTTTTAAAAAAATAAACTGTTAGGATGTATGCAGATGGTCTTATAATATTGTGTAAAGCAGACTTTACAAAAACAAAATGCAAAGAGACAAAAATATCACACTGACAGGTAGATGGCCTTTTATCCCGTCACATTCATTAAAATAAAACCAACTGTGAGTTTGAAAAACAACTAAAAACTACTTCTGGTATAAAACTTATCTTCCATGAGAAAATGTTTGATGGGAAATGGCACAGACTTAAAAAAAAATTATATATATTTTTTTTTAAAAGTCACACTCACAGTGGCGCTTTTCATAGCAGGTTAACTCCCCTGTGTATTTTATCAGGAAAACACAGCAACAGTAGAAACTTCAAATGTGGGCTGAAAATCTAGCTTGACAGACAATTTGACCTCTGTTTCCATTTGGTGAATCAAGTCAAACTGAAGTAACAGAGGATGTTTTCAGATAAAAACAGAGTGTAAAACTTCATCTAAAACTACAGCAAAGACAAATTTTACGAACACTCGCTAAGACGATGAATATTCAGCGGGAAGTTTTCCAGACGGTTAGTGGCCCAGATTATCGATTAAAACCTCGTCTTTAGGATTTAGTCCATCCTTACATTCATTGAGAACTTACTGGTTTGTTATGAGGATGCACACAAACACAACAGACCCGAGTTAATGCTGAAGTAGACAGACCGAGTGAAGCTGTTTACGGGTCATGAGCTCCCTTCAAAGTTCATCATTTTCCCACGTTGTCTTTGTGTATTTGGCTTGATCAGAGTTCAAAGCTGCAACAGTCCAGAGTGATGCACTGCTCATGTTTCACGTCCGATGTGCAAAAAGTCCCATTGAGGATCAGAGTTTACAAAGTGATTAGTTAAATCTAACAGTTAGACGAGCCACAACATCAGGATCTCAGAGCCTCATGTATAAAAAAAAGTGTTAAGACTTTATTTACACACCGTCATAACTTCATGTGAATTCTAAGAACGTGATTGTTTCAACAAAAAGTGTTTAACTTCATTAATGCAATCTAACATTTTATCTTTTTTTTTTTTATAATTTTGTGCAAAAGAACGTTTTATACATGAGGCTCTGGGACGGAACGTGTACAAGCCGTCATTCATTCACTGCCTGAGATCTGCTTGTTTTCTGATATCTGGGAAAATGGAAAACATCTTGAAGAATTTCTGCTCTCTTCTACATGATTAGTCCATTTCAACTGATTTTTTTTTTTTTTTTTTTTACATGTTTGGTTTTGATTTGTTTGTTGAGTTGCAATCTGAACTCTTTAATTTATGTCAGAGAAACCACTTCTTTGATCAGTGGCATCAATTGGAAAATATCCCCTTGAAACAGGAGAAGCTGCTGTGTTTGAAGGAAATAAAAAAAAATAAAAAATTCAGTAACATATTTCAGCTCATGTTGTCGCCACGATGGCTGGATGAGACGAATCTCTGCTGTACACTTCAGAACACCGAGGTTCTCGGTTCTTCTTGTCTTCTGAGATTGTTGTAGAGGAGCGTGGCTAAACCAGTTCAAAGGTGCTCCCACTGAGGGTCATGACAGGGAGAGCCGGTGGAGGGCAGGGTGGTCTACTCTACATCTACTGAAGGTTTTTACTCGAGGTTTTAGATCATGGCCCGGAAAGCAAACGAGACTGCAGCGCCCAGGGCCAAGCCGAGGGACAAGAAGAAGGCCATGATGGCCCCCGCCGTCTCTGCCTCATGCTGCGGCACCTTCCTGTACAGAGACAACGGAGGGACAAAATTCATCAGAATGAGTGGCTCACCATTAAACACAATGGTGTTTATGTTAAAGCACGGATACAGCTCTACATCACTTTAAAGAACAGTTCAACACTTTGGGAAATATGCACACTCTCCCCAAGAGTTAGATGTTGTCATTGATGCACATTGTTTTATTAGAGCTTGTGTGTGCATTACATATTTTGTTGTGCTCAAGTGTGTCTGATCTGAGTTTTACCTGCATGCAAGACTAACTGTATTCTCCCACAGGAGAAGTTTACTCTCACGCCTGTGCGGTAAGTATGGCACTACAGCCAGTTAGCTTAGTTTAAAGACTAGAAGCAGGAGAAAAAACCTGCCCACAAACACCTCTACAGCTCAGCAATTCACACATTTTATCTCTCAACTGTTTTTACATTTCTGTTAGTGTATTTTTGAGCTTTAATGAGAGTCTCGCTAGCCGAGTCCCTCTGTTTCCAATCTTTATGCTATGCTAGGTTAAATTACTCCAGGCTCCAGTCCAGTACTTCAAAGAGTGCTCTCCCAACTCCTTGTCAAAACCTGGCACCTACATTATCCACAATGCCAGCAGTTTGGTTAAAGATTTGGGTGTGTTCCACTAAGTCATCTGCCAAATCCAACAGTCATTGTGTGCACATTTCCAACATACGTGTGTGTGTGTGTGTGTGTGTGTGTGTGTGTGTGTGTGTGTGTGTGTGTTTGTGTAGCCCTTACTTGGGTCCAAAGCACATGCAGAGACTGGCCAGGTATCCGTTGGAGAAGGAGAAGAAAATCATGAAGATGATGTACCAGGCGTCGTGTTCAAACAGCACAGGGAGGTAGTGACGAGGCTGAACATTACACAGCATGAAGAGAGGGATGAAGACGACCCTCAAAACCACCAGGACAGGAAGCCAGATACTATCTTTACCCGGCTGAAGACAGAAACACAGCTATGTCACCACAGGCACAGACAAGAATTAACAGGACTCATTACAACACAGAAACCTACTTTTGGATGTTTTTGTTTGGGGAATGGCAATACATTCAGCATGATGTAATTAGAGCTGCAACGAGGAGCGGATTCATTGATTAGTTTATGATCAGAAAAACAAACCACATCATTTTGAAAATCGATTCATTGTAAGTTATTTACCAAGAGAAATTGCCACACATTCTCTGGTTTCAGCTTCTCACGTGTCAGGATTTGCTGCTTTTCTCTTTTTACATGATAAGAAACTGAATATTTTGTGGTTCTGGATTATTGGCCGGACAAAGCAAGTAATCGCCTTAGTTTCTGGAAACACAAGATGCACATTTTTTTGCAATTTTCCAATCTATTGCAGACTAAAGTAATCATAAAAAATAATTGCTAGATTAATCAATAATGAAAATAATCATTAGCGGCTGCATTTCAAGTTCCTCTGAAGAGAATTATGGGTTTTTCTATCTCAAATTTTGATTATATATTTTGAGGCCTGGAAAGTTAAGTTCAATAACGAACATATTTCTTGACATCCTCTCTGTTAATTTAGGTCAACAATTTCATGTAACTTGGGAGAAAGAAAGCAAAAGACACAACTGACCCGAGGACCTGATTTCACAGAGCACCTCAGCGGAAACTGTCAGGATCCTGATCAGTGTTGTGTGATGATGGTAAATAAACTCACATGGTCCTGGAGCAGCTGACTGCTATCTGCACTAATACCAAGAGGCTGCATTTCAGCACAGGTCAGACCATGTTAACTAACTCTACTCAGTTTGTTCACAATCACTTGATTCAATTTGATTATTTCCTCTGGATCGCAGGAAATTAGACCTGTTTGTTAATTTGTTGATTTATGGACCAAGTTTGAAAAGAGCTGAACTTACGCTGAGCCCAGAAAGACAAGAAGAAAAAACATTAGTGTTAGTGCAAGGAAAAGTGCCTGAGACACTCAGTTCTGTGATTGTATAATAATGTCATGTGACAGTTTAGATAATTAAATCTAGAGAAGATAAATGCAAGTATCTGACAGACGTCTGACTGAGAAGATGCTCAACATCCTCATATTGGAGGCCAAATGGGACATGGGTATATAAATATTCAAAATAAAGCTTTTTTCGGTGGAATATTTTTATTTTTATTTATTTATTTTTTTTTTTAAAGTGGTTAAAACATGTTTTTGCTGCTGGACCTTTCCTTAGCAGCACATCACTCAGCTTCTGTGCCGGTGCCCCTGGCTGCCTCTTCAAAATGGTAGGGCGCTAAACCAAATCTACTGCAGGTAAAACACTGACTAGATACCTCACACACCCCGACATCAAACAACCCCAACTATCCCTTTGAAGCTTGCAGCAGATTACAAATGAGCCAGAAATGCATTTATAACAAAACAGACACACACGCTCAGATGTGTAGCAATAACCTTTGACTTTCCACCGGTCATCCACATGTGCTTGTAAATAAAGTACAAACTTTCAAAATCACCACAGCCACTTATCAAGGACGCCCAAAATCACTTCCTTTACACAGTGCGCACACACACACACACACACACACACACACACATGCACACACACACTTCTCCAAAAAAAAAACCTCTGATCTAAGCAACAAAACTCCACTCCTTTATTTTCAGCCTAAACTCTGAGCGATTCATGTTGTTCCACCGCTCCACTAATGACTCAGTGATCTGTTCATGTATAAACATTTAAGCAGCCAAAACTCTGTCAACAAGTGGGTCTGTTGTCCATGAGACCATACACCAGCCAGACAACAGCAGATCACACTAAATATTTTGATGTGGTCATTTTAAATGGACTCTATAAGGCAAAAGTGTTTATCAACAAGTGCCATCATTGGACTGATTTGTTTATCGGGCCGCAGGAGGAAGTCAGGTTGAAGCCAGGTTGAAGCAATGGTTACTGTCATTACTATAGCTTTATACATTTTGAAAAATGTTCTATTGTTATTGTAGAGTTGCCACCAGTCAAGCTTGTAGCCAGTATCCACAAAGACCTGATACTACCAGGTCACCTGAAACTAAAGCTCACAGAACAGATGAACCTTTGTACACAAGGGAGTTTTTCATGGAGTCTCATCAAAGAGCCAAGCAGCTAACTCTGGGTTCAATCCAGGCTTTTTAGTCATGACGTGACATGAGCTGACCTGTACTGCATAGCTAATCTCCAGAGCAGGTAAGAACGAGCAAGTGTGTTGGTGAAATGTCTTATTTGTGTTTAACTGACCCACATACAGACGGCCGTCAGACTCCTGCCGGCCCAGTCCATCAAGTTGAAGAGGAGGAAACATGACACAGGGATGAAGTAGGTACCTGAAAAAGGAACACAATAAACAAAGTGGCTGTAGCAACAGTAACAACACCAAGAATACAGACGTGTTTGTTTGAAAGAAATACCCAACCTCTGTGGGCATATAAAGTGGAGCTGAGAGTTTGCAGCTTTCTCCTTCACAGAGACTGGCAGCTGTAACCCACAGTCACAGCACTGAAAGTACAAAACATCCTGAGGAACTGCACCAACTTGCTTTGATAATGAGCTGACAACAGCTTCTTTGTAAGCCAACAGGAAGAAGTTGGTTTAATCAGATATGTGTGATCTTAAAGGATTAAAACTAATTCAGTATATTAATGAGCTACCCTCATATTCATTAAAAAAAAGCCTTGTCCAGGCATCTATGTGAGCAGAAGGTAAAAAAAACCAAACAAACGAAGAACAGAAAAGCTAAAAGATCCAATTCAGTCCATAAAACTGTGCAGATAAAGCCTTCCATCCCACTTCACCATTGCACTATTTTTGAGGAACTAAGGTTTATATAAAAAATTTTCCCAGACCTACAGTCTCCTCCTTGGGAAACAAAAACAAGGTTTATTCGCTAATTAGTTTGGTGATAAATGTTTGAAAAAGAGCCAAAAACTTGGCAATCATCCCGCTCAGACGTCAGATTATCAAAGTTACTGGCTCACTAGGGAAGAAATGGAGACTCACCCCAGGCGCCTCCACCTGCTACTGTGGACTTGACCTCGACGGTCACAGCTGGGAATGTTCCAATGGTGACGGTGAAGATGCAGCACACTGACAGAGCCATCCCCCAGATCTGACGAGAGAGCACCGGAGGAACATTATCAACATATACAGGTGGAAGGTGGAAGATGCACATGAAGAGGAGCTTGTTATGGGATGTGAAGTTTTAAATTACTCAGATGTGCTTCTGGAAACAAAGACTGTTGGCTTTGATAGCCATGCACACCGATTTGTGTTCATGTTTCAATGTGAGGAAGTCATCATTGCACCTGTCTGAAGATGTTGAACACAGACACGCTGGGTTTAGCCTCTTCCTCCACCAGGCTCATCACCGGTCGCTTCTCTGCTGAACTTTCTGAAAAACAAACAAACAGCTCTCTATCATTATGTTGGTCAAGTGACAGACCATCAGTCCCAAGCTTCAGTGGCTGTTTGCACAAGATTTTAATTGTTATATGACATAGGTTTCCCATTACACTCCCACACACTGGAAATTAAAACCCAAACCCCTAACTGTCACCAAAACACAAACTGAACCAAAAACACTTTCAGTGGGTTTGGCTTTCACAGGCACTCATTTTTTTTTCCCCCACACACATCCTGTTTATTTTCCTGCAAAGCCAATGTGAGACATTGAGACCTGCAGCTGGAGCATGAAATTATCTTGGTTGAATCACCTGCACAACAGATGACCACCTGTGTTAGAAAACGTCTGGTTGTTTGATAAAGAGTCAAAAATGTACAAGTCTGCTCATAGAAATGTAACACAAACGTAAAGTGCCATAGCCAAGGATCATTTCGATGAAAAAAACAATCACAGAGCTTGAATGCATATTGGGTAATGCAAACTGTAAGTGTAAGCTGGAGATTTCTCTTGACAGAAACCAGGTAATATTCAGCAGGTTAAAAACAGTTCACATTGAGACTCTGGACAAATTTAAATAAAGTGTTTATGCAAGTGCATTAAGAGCCGTTAAACAAATGTACAAATAAAAAAAATCTTTCACACATAAATCTGAAAAAAATATTAAACTGATGGCCATAACATAAACATAAAGTATTATTAAATTATCCAGGAGACTAACTTGTTTTTTGAGGCTCTGTTTCTTTGAGTTTTTGAGGCTCTGTAGAGTTCAAGTCGGACACCTTGATAAAAAAAATAGCTGCAGTACCAGGGCTTCAATGGTTTTACAACTTCTCACAAGTATTATTTAAAAGCACCATGATTTTTTGAACACATTTTGTTTTTTTCATGTCAAAACCAAATATCTTCTGTCTACAGCTTCAACTTCCATAATTATTCATTTTTTTGAAACTAGAACATGAATATCTGAGCAGAGCTGTGAGAATACTGAATGTACCTTTTTTGAGTAAGTCCATCTTGTTCTCCTCATCAGCAGAGGGTCTGGATCCATTACTCTCCATGTGGTACTGGAAAAACTCCTGTTGACAAAGACAACAACTATAACGAGCCAAGCCCACAGAGCCAGTAGAGCAAAGATAAAGACAGCATGTTCTTTGAGATGCTGCTAATTCCTACTATCAGATGTGTTTTCTCTCTCCCTACAGACTGCAGAGGCGCTCAGCACTTATCTCAAGTTTACATAGCGCTGTTCAAAAAAGTTAATGAGAGTAAAATGGGAACACATTTCAAAGTGGCTGTTCAACAAATACTTCCTGATTAAAACACTTTCAACTCTGTAAACATATTCTGTTAAGAGAATAAGTGGTCTCACCATCTTAGGCAGAGCGATGTAGGACATTATGGCCAAGAGAATAGCAACACAGGCTGTGATGAAGTAACCAAAAGCACTGTCCTGCAGGGCCGATCCAGCTGCAGACAAACACAACACACAGATGTTAGCGTTTTCAAGGCTTTCGTAAGTATTGATTTAACTCAGTAGTTTTTCCTGTAGGCCACAGCTTCAGGCAAATATCCTGTCGAGTTTCTTTTGGTCAGTATTCCTCTTTTAAAAATACATTTAAAATTCCAATTGTTGGATTATATAATTTTACAAGGGCTGAAACTAGCAATTACTTTGATTATCCATTAATCTGACAATTATAGTCTTCATTAATTGTGTTTTCCCAACATCACGATGAAGTTCATGATGAAGTGAACAATTAACAAATTACTTTAAAAGTATAAAAACGAACAGCACTTTCACAGCCTCGTCAGCTAATATTAGCACAGTCACATGAACTGAGAAGCTGAGATGTGTCATATTCAGTGCAGCCTGCTGTAACCGCTCACAAAGAAAGCCAAATCTGACAGGAAAAAATCTCAAGTGCCAAACTAATTCTGTTTTCTTCATAATTCTGTGGAGGAGGCCAAATTCAAAGAGCAGCCAGCCAATTTTATTGTTAACCACTTAAGTTAGGCTCGCCTTTCACCAAAAACAAAGTTCATCATTGAAACACATTCACTAAAATATTGCTCCATATTAAATGTGTTCAAACATTAATTTAAAATAGTAACAAACACATTAGCTAAGGGGTTAAACTCCCTGTCACTTTGTATTTTATTAGTAGTTCAAATAGCAATAATTCATATTTCTAGAAATAGCACTATAGTAGACAGGGGAACATGCAATACTAATGTTAGAAAAGGTGTACTAGTGCTTTGTGTGTGAGACGTACAGGCCAGCGCACAGATCATGGAGAAAGCGGCGAAGGTGCCGGCCAGCCCCTGTCCACTCATGATGGGAGTGGTGTAGGAGGCGGGCAGCATCCCTGCCAGGCCGAACAGGCTGCTCTGAAGAATCGCCCCGAACGCTGGGCAGGGAGACAGAAAACAAGACAAGGATGTTTAAGAGTTAGCACATTTTTAACAGTTGCATTATTCCAAAGCATCAGAGAAAGAGGCCCGTAAAAAATGAACTGCCGTCACAAACAGGAGGAGGCGACACCCTTTCTGAAAGAACATGGAGCATAACTGTTATATAACTGGTATTTCCCTTATCTCACTTTACACAAAGCCAACAAGGCGTTTTAATACAAACTTGCATCACACCAGTGGATTACAACGTCTTATACAGCAAGTCTGGAACTTAATTAGATGCAGAAATCTAGTAACGTGTCCACTGAGAGGAATGTGCCAACGGCGATATCAAAGCTTTAAGGTCACGACACCCTCCCCTCTGAATCAAACACGATGGGATGTTCCTCATGAGGATCTTGGGGGTCAGGACTAGCCCAACGGGGATGAGGAGGGGGGTGAGCTTATCCCTGCTGCTGACGGAGTCATTGTAAATAAACAAACACAGTGAGATTACAGACTGTGTTCTGAAGCTCAGTGTGGTACGACCGCATGTGTGTGCATCCATATGAGAGGGATTTCCCCAAACACAGTGGATGCAGATGATTTTGATCAAAGTGGAAGAATACACATGGAAATAATCATTTGCATGAGTTCAATGTGGAAATGAGGTAAAAGCAAACTCCTTAAACTAGTGCACCAATCCTGCAACAGGCAATCCCTTCATGAAGGTTGCGATGTTTAATTTTTGGTTTTTAGAGGTTTTGACTCAACTTTATGGTTGTTTCAAAGGGGAAGTGTACTGCATTACATAGAGAGGCGTTCCTAATATTTAGTCTAGCCTCATTGATGTAAATGGAGTCCACTGCCAGGCTGTCTGAGATCTGCAGTTTCTAAGAAATCCTGAAACACACACACAGAGTTAAAACAAGAGAGAGATTTAATCCTACCACTGTTTACCTGCAATAAACTGACCAATCAGAGCAGCCACTACCACAGCTTCTGTGTCAACTGAAAATGACAACTGCTGAATGGATACATCATTTACTATTGACTGGTCAGGGCAAATCAAAATAAAATAACACCTCTCCCAACAGGAAATCATCTCGCACGAACACAGTGTCACGAAGAAAGAATAAAGTGACTCAGAATGGAAATTCAGTCTGATCATCCAGCTCAATATTTCCTTGCACATGTTTGTGATCATAAACAAACTAGTAGGGGTCGTTATGTCTCTGCTGTTAAATAGCTTGATAAATACGCTAGAGCTTTCTTTTGAGAATGTATTTAGAAACTCACAGTTGATGCAGATAATTTTGATCATAGTGATGGTGAAGAAAGGCAGTGGGTCCATGTCCACCTTGACGAACACAGCTGTCAGCAGGAAAACTATCAGGATGACTGTCAGGCTGCCAGAGATCCGCAGCTTCTGAGGAATCCTGAGAGACACACACAGGGTGAAAACAACAGAGACATAAACCTTAAATATCCACCACTACACAGCTAACCCAAACCACCAGGAAAGAACATTAGCATGCCAATTTTAGGATGCCGAGTTGATTTTAAAAATACATGTTGGGTAAACTCCACTCATTAAAAAATGTAAGATGGAAATTTTAACATAAAATCCAGGTAAACAAATAACCTTATACTTATATTCATCATATAATAGAGATGTGTTCAAAGAAAGAGACATAAGGATAAGGACAAATAAGACAGGGGGATGTGGAAAAATTGGTTATGGGTCATTGTTGAACTGTCGAGGTCAGAGGTTCAGAAACAGGGTTTCTGAGAAGTTTAAGTCATTCTGCCAGAAAGTGCGAGAAAATGAAAATGAAAAATAGAGAAGTTGTGTCAGTTCACAAAGGCAAGTTCTCTGTTCAAAAAAAGGGTAAAAAAAAAAGGAAAAAGTGAGAATATTGAGGAAGGGAGGGATGGAAGGAGAAAAAGAACAGAGAGTAAGTTTGGGAGAGAAGCAGGGAGGGGTAAAGAAGTTGGGGTGTAATAGAGAACATAAATAGCATTCCTGGGTATGTTTGTGCAGGGGAAGAGTCAGCCGTGGTCGGGGTCCACCCCAGATCTCTCCAAATCCAACTCTAATTAAAGCAAACATACTGGAGGCATAGAGACATACATTCACATAACAGGATCATGTTGCCTATAGAGGCGTGGGGTGACCGACAGATAAACAGGACGGTAGGCAGAAAGAGCGGGAAAGATAAAGGTGTAGAACAGAAGCCAGTGATCTTGCAGTGTAGTATATTTTGGCCTTAAGGTTTTAGCTCATTGCTTCCTGTAGGTGGAGAAGTGCAAATGCTACACACAGGACTGCAAGTTATATAAATCTACATGGTCAGTTTTTTGGCGTGAACATGTCAGCATGCAGCAGGGAGGATACCTCTGGTGTAAGAAGGAGTTGAGGCAGGTGAAAATGAGCAGAGGGACCATGGCGCACAGCGTCATCACGTTGTTAAACTTTGACTCCAGCACATTGCGAGTATCCCCCTCCAAAGTCCCATTAGCTGTCTGATTAGAGGAGAGGTCTGTCGGCGCGTCCTTCAGCCTGCTGGTGAAGTACTGAGGAGAAATGACGAAGGAACGTACATATGGTTATCAGCTCTTGCAACCTAACAGCAGCAGTTGCAGTGAATGATAATTTAATGACTGATGTCACGAGTTTGTATCATGTGAATGTAGTGCTGCATTAGTTTCAACTAGGTGTTCCTAATAAACTGCCAACTTAGTGTACTTTTTTTTTTTTTTTTTTTTAAAGTCTGAGGTCACTCAGATGAAACATCTCAAAAGCTTATATAATGCACAAATAAAACAGATTTTTAAGTTACAGAACACAAAAACAGGTGAAATCACAGCCTAGAAATGTCAATGTGACGCATTTCAAACCGGCATCAAAGTCTTCCTGGGAGTCATACAGCCATGGTATAGCTAGCTATATTTATTGAAACGGCTTGCCAACTTTTCTTTTTCAAAACAAATACAAACTTTGAGCTATTTCAGCTTCCACAAAAATCCCCCCTAAGGGTGGGTTCAAATTAACTCCCCCAGGAAAATTAAACAGAAATTCCACATTTTAAGAAGTTAACCCTTTAAGGGTCCAAAAGAATGGCTGGAGATTAGAGAGGCTTTACCACGACCATGGAAATCCACCTGGATGGAGGAGGTCAGCCATCCTGAGTGAAACCAGGTGGTTTTGGAGGGAGAGTAAACAGACAAGTAAGGTGACCTTCCACTATGTGGACCCCAACCTTTAAATTAACTAGTCACTAACCACAAGGCCACCAACAGGGATCTTCCTTTCACCTCTAATCTGTCTGTGATACCAAGGGTTAGCTGCATTTACCTGCAAATATTCTCACTTTCAGAAGATTACAACCATCCTAAAATGTTACTCAACTTACCATTGTTGCTGTCATGAAGAAATTCCATGGTAAGAGGGTTCCCAAACCAAGGATGAAGAAAATTATCCACACTGCATTGTATCTGGAAAAGAGACAAAAGGAAGTTCACATGAAAGTACGTCAGTGAGGTCATTAAAACTTACTATAGACAAACAATTTAGAACAACTTGTTCCATGGCTCTCATCCAAATCTCATTTTGCACATGCTGAAACAGAAAATTACAACATCATACTGACAAAAATAGGTCCTCAGTCCAGAACTTTTAAAAACAGTTTCTCTTACTTGTCCCGAGGTGCGTTGATGGCCGTCATGGTTGTTGTTAGGGAGATGGAGGCACGAGCTCAGTCAGAGTTGTATCAGGGTTACACCACGTCTGAAATATACAGATAACAAACATGTTTTCAGAGCTTAAACTATCTATACTGCGCCAGCCAACATTCATCATCAGCCATCAGTCTCTCTATCGTTTTGATTACATTTTAAAATACTTAATGTATGGACAGACACAGCTATTTAATAATGGGCTGCATAACATACAACAAACCAATTCAGTTAAAACTGTCATCTGCTCCAGATTTAGTGGCTGCCCACCACCATCAGTGGTAAGAAAAAAACTTTACAATACAGACAGACTCAGCTTCATAACTCCTGTGTTGTGTCTTAATCATTGCAGAGTCAGACTAGCCACAACTTGTAACAAACAGGCAACATGATTCAAAGAACTTCACAACAGTTATGAAACTCACAAGACTATATTCACAAAGTATAAATTAAATAATTTCTGTTTCCATTAACTCTAAGTAAAGTCACTTTTTTTGTATACATTTACTTACAACAGAGTTCAATCAATGAAAAAAAGACTCCTCTTTCCTCTGGTCAGATGCACAACCAACGCACAGGCTAAACAAGTTCTGCATGCTTCATTTTATACCATACACCCCACTGACTGCTCACACTGGACCTGCCCTCTTTGCAGTGTTCATCCCTCCTTCTTCCCTTTACCCTGTCCTCCTCCACCCTACCTACATATTTTCACATTTACATTCCAACATCAAACACCCAGATTTCTGTCATATCAAGCCAACAGTAAATAGTGCAGGAGTCAGACTCTTCCTTGAAAAGATTCCTATGAGAATTGAACAATCATGTGAGATAGCATGGCTTGAAAAAGAAGAAGCTCAGAAGACAAAGTGAAGGGTTGTTTTTCAAATTATACTAGTCCACCATGTTCTTGAGTCTCTTGCCTTTACATTCTCATCTGTTCTGCTCTCTGCATGATCTCATTTATCAATATGTCTTCTTAATTTCACCCTCCATATCCCCCTATGTCTCCCACTGTCTTCTAATTTCTCACCTCATTTCATCCACTGTTTCTCCTCAGCACCTTTTTTTTTTTTTTTTTTTTTTTTTTTTTTATTACCGCACGCACGCATGCTCCCCTTGGCCTTTATTGTCCTACTTTCTCATATGATCAGCTATCACCTACCATCCCTAATTTTTTGTATGTTATTCCGCTCTCATCTCCACTCTTAATTCATCCAACACTATTTATTCCATCGCTCCCCTCCCAGCATCTTTTCCTCTGGACATGTGCTCAGACAAGTGTGTAACACCGTCTCTAAACAGAGTAACTTCTCTTCAACACAGACCAATTTCACATCGAACCAAATTAAACAATACAAGGCGGAGTTAACGATCATGAGCACTTAAATGCAAGAGCTGTAAATGATGCTTTTAATCATGTTGTTCATTATGGATTATGCAATCTAAATTGTTACGAGTGGGTTGCCATATTATTTGTTCTCATGCATGAGTACACGTACAGGGGACATGTTACACTTTCCTGCCAATGGCTTCACACAGGGAAGTGATGAAGAAGAAGACTGCTGGTAGGTTAACGTTGAGAAAAATAATGCAGGTGTCAGACGTTTAAGGAAAATCTGCTTTGCAAATATTTTACATGTGAGGAAATGCATTCAATGTGTGTGTGTTAGAGTTCAAGGATACATACAATGCATTTTGGTGAGTTACGTAGAATGTAAACATGATTTATTTGTTTCCAAGAAAACCCTACAGGACCCTTTAAACAAGCAAAAATCAAGACATCTGCAAAGCCGTTTTTTCTAATAGCCAATAGCACTGTTTAGCGATGGATACTGACAACAGAAAGCCTGATCCATTCATTAATTAATTCATCTAAACACAAGACTGGCATCAATGATTTGATTTGGATTTATTCTCAACTCAATAGATAGAGGTTGGCAGCACTTCCAAAGCATGTTGTCTAGTTTCTTTTTGCTGATAGACGTGATGAATCCAGTGGTTGATCTGGTCGTAAGTATACCCTCAGATAGGAGGACAGAGACTGCTCTATATGAAGGGACACACATATACACACACACACGCACGCACGCACGCACACACGCACACACGCACACACGCACGCTAGCCCATTATGTATCATGCATATAAACTACACCGGACTGACCGAGCAGAGTCTAACTCTGAGAAACCACTGTCTATGAGAAAGGTCTGCATGGCATGTGGGATGGGACAAAAGTCCAACAGACAGGAGACCGTAAGTTAAACAACACATTCGTATGTGCTTGCTTACACAGAAATTTACCACAAGACCAGGCATACGCTGTGTGAATGAAAACTAGAACCCGACAGAGGGAGTGCATAGTTTGTCAATCAGAGAGCACTGATAAGTTCAATTCTCAACTGTACAGTGTCCCGCTCTTCTTTAAAATTACATTTTACACACACACACACACACACACACACACACTATTAATGTTAACAAAAGTATCTTGGCCAATATATATCTTTATCAGATTATTTCAAACGTCAATATGAATACTGGTCTCAAATATAGGTATATAGGTAAAACCCTCAAATGATGGATAGTTGTTTGTTACACAACTGTTTCTGAACTTTTTGTGTGCAACGGGGTGTAACCCATTAACACCATATCTAACAATTACTGTGCCCCCCCCCCCCCCCCCCCCCCCCCCCCCACCCCCCCCCCCCCCCCCCACAAGACAGCTGGCTTTTCACTCTCTCTTTTACACTTCAAATGAGGCTGTTCAGAAAAGCTGTAAACACTTTCCACAGTAGTCAGACAACACATTGTATGAACTAGTTCTTTCTGAATTTAACCAAGTCCTAAACAGCAAAGTAGCTGCCAGTATTCAACTAGCCATGTGTGCCTCCTATATACTTTTGTCTTGACAATGCCTCTGCCAGTTTTGAATGGCCTTGTGAGAAACCCATAGCCTGATTAGTATTTTCCCTCCCTTCCGCTGGTTGTCATAACATAGTCAAATCCCACAGGACCAGTGAGGCAAAACTTTTGGTATTACAGACACTGCTACCACTCACAGTTTAAAACACACTGTGTTAGTCATGTCCCAGATTCCTGTATAGTATCCCCCTCTCAACCTAACATGTCACCAAACGAGCCAGCTGGCACCAGTTACCTGGCGCTGACATGGTGCCCACCACACACACACTCACACGGGCACTTTGCAGTCTGTAGAGTGGTACAAAACTCCAGTTTGGCATCAATCTGACACTTTAACTGACTGACCTCTTAGCGACATCCAACTCCAACAATCAGCACTCCACAGTAATTTATTGTTTCCTCCTATAATGTCAAGGTTGAAAATACAGGGCGAATCTTGCCAAAGGGGGGCAGATCAGACTGGTCTGCTTGCCATCTCATCAGGAAAGTGGTCACAATTGTGCCCAAAATTTTAACTCTGTGACTTGAAAAACCTGGTCTAGTCACAGCACACTGATTTCTTTTATTCTATTTTTCTGAATTTCATACAGTTTTATAATTAGCTAGATTTAAATTTCCAACTTGAGGCTTCTTACAATACAGTACACTGGGTTTTCCACAAGCTCAAATGATTACTGAACTGTAATCCACCATGTGTTACATAAAACATCTGCTCAACAGCATTTTGGTATATTTTATTATAATCAGGTTGGCTTGTCATTCTGTGTTAATAATACGTTACTTCTGTTTCTATTTTCTAAGTATATCCGAAACAGACAGATACAACTGCAAGGATTTTAGTATAAAAGTAAAAGAAGGAATTGGGGCTCATCTGTTTTCAATGTTGCAGGACCAATGCCATTACTACCAAAATCAAAATTGCAGAGGTTTATTGGTGCAGGTTCTAACTCACCAATCTTTTTTTGTATTTATTATTTTAAATCTGCATGCTGAGGAGGAGTTTAGGTGTTTGTATATTTAAAAAGAAAAGTGTATTCTGGACGCAAGGAGTGGCACTAAGCTAAAACTGGCTGGTTAGAGTGCCTGTACAATGTGGGGTAGATCTGGGGGGAGATAGTGTGGTGTGAAGCTCATTGCTGGCAGGTGAAAAAAGGTGGCTGGAAACCATGTGTCATGTCCGTCTGCCGGCCTGCCCAGGCCAACAGGCGGGACAGCAGTGCCGGTGGAAAGCAGCGCATAGGGAAGTGTGACCTATATCCTGAAGACAGGGCAAAATCTTAATAGAAAAGGACAGGAGTACATTTTGTCTGAGCAGCATACCTCTCTAACAGGGTTTCCTTTATTCCCAGGCTGACACACACAATAGTTTGATGCCGGTCATATGATGAAGGTAAGGCAACTAACCCCTTTCCTCGAGGTCATTTCCCAGTGCTTATTGAAAGCGAACACTCTTATCAAAGTCATAACATTTTCAGTGCTAGACTGAAATGCCATTCTAAGAATTAACCAGAGTAAATGAATAACAGGGCGGTATTTCTTTTTACACCATCAGTGGTGACATATTTGATATTAATCTGAAAATTTGCTACAGGCATGCCAAGATCATGCCAGGAGTTTTTATGTAATCTGGTGAACAATGCAAATTTAGACAAATATTCACAACTTCAAAATGTACAACCATCACCAAAGCCTGAGTTTCTTTACCCTGGTGCTAAGGATACAAAGACCTGCTGCTTTTCATTCTAGCAATTTAATTATTTCACAAATGGGAAACAACCTAAACACAATTAACTAGCTTTCACCTCAGAAAAACCAGCTGTTAACTGGGGGCAAGGAACACTAAATTTAAGTGCTCAGTAGTTAGCACGTACTGCAGTTCAGTAGGTTTCATAGTTACATAGAAATATACTTAGCCATCTCTAAAAAGTGTCTGTGTTGCAATAGAAGCAGCACTAACAGGATTATGTCAGTAGGGTTGGGAATCGAAACTTGGTTCTAAATTAGAACCAAATAAAAAAAAAAAAAAGAATTTCAGTTCTGCTTGTCCTGAACACGATAAATCTTTATTGATGCAAACAAAGGCTACATGTGTGCAGGGATGTATGCAGCTATCTGCCAGTAATTTCATCCCTGCCTTACAATGCCCTTACCCTTGCTAATTGATTAAATCTTTGAGCCTTCCCTGCTCCCTGCTAACATTATAATATCTGTGATATGCAATTAAAAAAAATACCATTTTCTTACTTTCTTTTAATCCCAACTGTAATTGTGCCCTGCCCGATCAGTCACAATGCCTGTATCCACTGATCACAACTGTATTTACATACAGGTGACGACCGCCCTTTTGTTCAACTGTATAACTTATGTGTCAGTGGGCTCAGCATTAGGGTTGTCACAATACCCAGGAAAATACTCGATACCACGGGGAGAAAAAATGACCCTAACCCTAATCCTTTTTTAAATAAAGATTAGAACAATACAAACAATAACATACATGACAACACTTTTTAGGTTGTCTGAGGTAGTGCAAAAACCTTACTGTAAGGTGTATATATATATATATATATATATATATGACATGCAAATGTATTCACCTACAGCCCTGTGCTTCTGGTGACTTGGCACCAACACTGTCTATTAACGTTACAGACGGGCAGGACTGATAACGTTTGCTGCCTAGCTCCCACATTAACGTTGGTCGTTTTATTATTAGCCATAGCCGCTAGCCACTAGCTTAATGATAACTTAACAGATGGCTAATGTGGCTATCGGCTAATTGCTAATTGTTAAACGGCTAACCTTAACGACCAGGTAAAATAATAATGCAAAATAATTCCAGACGTCACTTTTGCTTTTTTCAATTTCAACTGAAACAGCAGCAGCACCTGCCATGTCAATTTAGTTTTATGCTGTCAACACCAGCTCAGTGTTGAGAACGTCAACTAGCGTTCATGTGTTCAGCTGCTGAGGGGAGGGGCTGTGTGCCTGTCTGTCTGCAGTGGTGCTGTATGAAGTTGAGTGTCAACAGGAGGAAGTGAAGACGATGGCACTGTTGGTATCGATACTGTTGCAAATGAGTATCTAATCCATTCATTTTTAGTATTGATTAGTATCTGAGTATCTTAAACTTTGAACTGAGGACTTGAGTGATCTCTATCTATCTATCTAAATTCCGCACTGTGTGTGCCCTTTTCAATGTTCACATGCCACACACTCCTGTTTTCTCTGCAGTACTAATATCATCAGAGACAGGAAGCGCTGCTACAGTGTAAACAACAACAGACAAAAGACTATTATTTCCTCATATGGGAAGTAATCAGTCTGGATTCGAATCACAAAACAAGCTGGATCAGAATTAACCCGATTCCACTCTATCGTCTAATTGCGATCACTGTCCAATATGCAAAAGCATAATGGGGACATCCCACCATTTAAAAAAAGCTTCTTATGCACAACTCGTAAAACTGTACAGTGATGATTCATATGCTGTTCACATCTGTGCCTGACAATCAAGTTTCCAATTTCACATCGTTCCTAGAATGACCAACACACACACACACACACACACACACACACATGAAAGCTTGCTCAACAGCCCTGTCCGAGGACACCCAGTACATTGCAGTTACGTTGCAGTACATTGACTTTTACAGCCTTGATTCCAATTTCACACTGTGCTTCATCCTGGTCTTTTTCAAGGACAGTATTATTGATGTTGTCCTCAGCCTGCCTGGAGAAGCAGATTAAAAATTTCAGAACAGAGAGGGAAAATGCAGGAACATGTGGATGACTGTTGCTTCATCTTAAAAAAAAAAAAAAAAGATGTCTGGTCCGTTTTTGAATAATGAAAATGCTTGAAAACATCACTGCCACGTTTCCACCAGTGTATTCCAAGCATGGTGGCCCGCCATGCTTACGTTGACCTCCCGCTAAGCCTAAGAATCAGGGAATTTGGGTATTATCGGTTGGAAACTTAGATATAATGGTTGGAAAGCTCATCAGCCACACCTGTTCGTTAAAACTCGTTTAGAACAAGAACATCCACAGTCGGAACGGCCATCGGGCGCAACAGGACAAATCCCGGTGAGCCAATGTATTGATACGAATTGAATCCATAAAGATTTTACCCCTGGTGTCCTGTGGATGGGAGCATTGTCATCCTGTATGTCCACCCATTTTTCCTTTAATTTGTGACCTGTCTGTAAGAAGGCCATGAATTGTTGATCTGAGTTTTGTTAGTATCTGCAGCCAGTCACCCTGACAGCACAAATGCAACACTGCCTAAACATTTCACAACTTTCCATCACATGCACACACCATGGTTTCATGTGAAGCTGATCTCAAATCAGTTCGTCCTTTCCAACAGCTTGTCCGAACAGGCCTTTCATGTCAGCCACTGTCTTTATACTAGTTGCCATTTGAAATCCTACTGACAGAAAAAATGAGTAAATAAAACTCAACCGATTAAACAACAATTCAATTTGAACCAAAGCTCTTTTCAGGGAAAGTAGGCTATGAACAGAAAGGACCTGACAGGTGGCCAAATACATATTCTCCTCACCACTTCCACACAGAGGCATGTGGGTATTCACTGTCAAACCAAGTAGACGCAGCAGGCCTAGGTAAAACTGTGGGGGTCCTAATGATCCAACAGACAAAGAGGCCTAGAAACTGCTAAAATGAACTCAAACAAACCTCTAAAAACACTGACTGATCCTGATGTGTCAGAAATCCAATCCAAACACAAAATTTAGCCTGGCTAACACAAAGGGATGACGCTGCATTGATATTTCACCAGTTTCCAACCCCTAATTTAATTGTTTTCGTTTCAAATAATTAAAACACTACAGCTTTTTTTCTTGGTGGAAAGGTGGAAATGAAACGAGCTGCGTACGTCAAGATGGCGAGCTGGAGTAGGTTTACTTGGCATCTCATCAGACAATGAGAAATGAATAATTATCTTCTTTGTCGTCCACACAATATTTCCCTAACAGAGAGAAATCAAATGAACTCTGTGGCTAAAGTTTGTGCTTTCTGTGTGTTACTCAGTTCTATAAGTTACATGTATTATACAGGATTTCCGCAGGGTTCAACAACCTCAACTTCTAAAACCTAAAGACCTAAAAAAAAAAAACCCACAGACCTTCTAAAAAACAAGTCCAATTTAATACTTGTTTCACAATCTTACTTTTCAAAGTATAAAGAAAAAACAGTAAGGAGAATATGGCCAAGAATGATTTCTTATTACTGTTTATGGCATTTTGCAGTATAAATCCTGATGATATAGTTAATTAAAATCAATGCAACCTGGAACTAGATAAGCAACAATAATGGATGGATGGACTAAACAACTGAAAATGATGAATTCCTGTTCATTTAAGTTTTTTGGTTTGCTACGGCTCAGATGGTGCTGACTAAAACTCACACGGCACAAAAAAGGACTGAACAGCCTCCTGCAGCACAATCCACTGTCACAACATTCCCACTATTAGTTTAGAGATGTAAAAAATCTCCTGACAGCATACATTCGATTACACAAACATTTTGTTACTAACATTACTCACTATGGCAGGCAAGAGAAAATATTTACTTAAATTTCAGCAAATTGAACTTCAGGCTTTTTGATACTCCTTTGAGGACAATACATTTGAAAGACTTTTCAAGACATGCAGATTTATGTCTGTGATTTGTGCAACTTCCATCCAGACAGGTCTGTACCACAGAGATTGTTATGCTTTGTAAAACAAGGATGTAATCAGGGTAATAAAAATAAGAGTCAGAAAGAGTGGCAAAGAAACAGGAAAAGAGACTTTCATGATACTAATGAGAGCAGCCAGGTAAATCCTGGGGGAAACAAAAAAATGTCAAAAGAGGGAGGGAGGGTCTTAAATCCATTGTCTTCACCATGACCTGCCCCCTTTATGCCCCAAATAATTTCCCGCCACTGAGAGTCAACAGGAACAAAGCCTGTCTCCAGCTGCATGTCTTTTCAGTTGGTTCAAGTGGTCTGGAGAAATAGCTGACTGATGAACTGGCGGGAGCAACTCCACTTATCACCATGGCTACACTACACTCACAGCACTGATGGGTTTAAATGAGTAAGACTGGGGGGCAGACATGGTTTGCATATTCCCTTTGATGAGTCAGTTTAGCCTGATCTTCACACGAGGAGTTGCCACCAGCCGAAAATGAAAAATTATTCATTCCACCAGAATGGACACTAATCAGTGACATCTGTTTCTTGCGTTGAGTATAGCACTGGTCAATTCAGCAACTCCACAGGTGGGAAAACTTAACTCCCACTCCTATAAAACAGATGTTCATGTGCACCCAGTGGTGGGCCGAGGCTGCTGTCCCATCAGCTGTTTGGTGGAAAACAAAGGCATCATTCTGGTGAGCTCTTCTCCGTCAAGAGAGTCACAAATAGCACCAACACGTGGGACATGGAGGAAAGCCAGGAAACACTCACTCACTCACAGCACAAGACATCCCATTTCATTTAGAGGAGTTATAGTAATCCTGTAATACATTTTACAAGAATACTACAAAACACTCTGTACTATTCATAGAAAACTGTGCCACAACAAATCCTACAGTGATACATACAAGTAGGTATCATAGTGCATCTAAATTCCCTTTATAGGCACATTTAGAGTAACGAGAAGAATATTTGTGACTTACATTAGTGGTCTACATGAGAGAAGACCTCACCCACAATGCAGCAGGAATGGCGGTGCTTGTTATTATAACCACACATCTTCTTTAAGTCGTCAACTGACTCTTAACTCTTCTTTCTACTGTTAGGTCCTGTGATACAGGAACTAACCATGTGCTACCACTGAAATTCATTAAAGCTGCCAGTCACGCACATGCTTCCCCTGCAGGCACCAAAAGTCATGTGCCCCATGATTGATAACCAGTCTGAAGAGACTGACGAACTTTGTATAAAATTCAAGATCATCTCCATTAAATTCTTAACAGCAACCATTGATGAAGAGCTTAATTTGACAGACAGATTCCGATCCCCAGAATTAAGCAGAAAGGGCAACATTTGAGACTCCACTTCTCACAGATTTATTGTTATTGAACCACAATTTGAACTGTTGCTGACAATTACAGAGAGCAACAACTGAAACACTCGGTCAGCTATTTTTGGTAATCAAATAATCATTTAGGCAGTTTTTCAAGCAAAGGCAACAAACACTACCTAGTTTTTATCTTTTCCATGTGAGGATTTGTTGTTTTTTCTCCATTTGTTTCCAATGTAAAGTGGGCTGTTTTCTAGCTTGGGACTATTACTTGTTATTACTTGTTTCACAGGCTATTTGAACACCTCACATGTGACTTTTAGAAACTTTGATGTGAACCTTTCCCTACTTTCTGACAATTCATAAACCAAATGATTGATCATTAGTCTTTAAAATAATCAGCAGAGAGCAATCCTTAGGTGCAATCCTACAGATAATAATTCGATATTTTCTGCGGATAGAAAAACCTTAAAATTAAACATATAAAGCAAACATTGAGGAATAAATGGAATACATCTTCTTGCCAGTAGGAATAACGCTTACAAACAGTCTTTTTAGTCTCCAAATGTTTTATTGAGGGGGCTTCCTCGCCTACGGGCTAACATGAGGCAACACTTCCCTGCTGGACTGAGCAGCTTGTTGGCGCTAAATTTAATTCCCCCGGCAGCAGTCAACAAAAGGACCCACGCTGCAGTCCGACATCAAAACACCAGTAGACTTGTCTTCATTTTTGTCTCTCAGGGACAGATAAAGACACGAGAACAGAATCGTAAAATGAACAAAAACGCCTCATAACAGTCGAGAGAAAGGAGTCTGCCATCTGAAACAAACAAATAACCGTTAACGTTGTTTTAGATGCAAATTCGCCAAATTGCGGGTCGGTTTTTAATTGAAGACAAGTTCGAACAAAGATACCGGTCACCACCGACGGACGATCACCTTCGGTTCGATAAGTGTTTTTAATTAACACACACTGAGGATGTCCTACCTTATCATCACAGTAAGCGCAGTCTGGTCGCGTCCGATCAAATGTGGGTCTGAGCTCAGTGGAATCCTTTGCTTCAACCACGAGTCGAGTGAAACCTTCAAGTACACCTCGAAAATACGGCTTGCTACAGTCATTTGAACACAATTTCTTGTGAAAAGTAATTAATTCCATTTATAGTGGAAATGATTGAGACTAAATCAATTTATATGCAGTAGTGGAAAGTAACTAAGTACACACAACGTACAAATACTTAAGCACAATTTTGGCAAAACTAGTTTATATTTCTCCTCCACAGTTAAACACTTGAATATGCCACTACATATGTTTAATAACATTAGTTGCTTTGCAGATTCAGATTGATAATACAAAATATAATAAACACATAAATTATTATCAATTAGATAAAATAAGACTTCATCAGAGGGGAATTATTGGTCGTATTAGGCTATACAAAGACATCAAATTTAAAGTAATGTACACATTAGTTTAGCAATAATTATAATTCAAATCTATAATATTATAATACAATATTATTCTGAGATTCTGATCTGTGTTCATTTTGTTTGTATGTTTTCATGCTAATACTTCTGTACTTTTTAAAAATGGAATGCAGAAGTATTAGCATGAAAACATACAAACAAAATGAACACAGATTGGCTCAGAATAATATTAGGTTAGAAATAAAAGTCCTGCATTCCATTTTAAAAAAGTACAGGACTAACCTAACAGAGTACTTCCACACTACAAAGTAGTAGTAGTGTACTCAGTTGGCAGTTTATTAGGTGCACGGAGCAAAAACTAATGCAGTCTAATACACCTGTCCTGCGATAAATACTACCTTCATTAAGGTAATAATGTTGGGTTTTGGTGAAATTGTTTTAGAATGCGTTGATTCAGTTGCATGATAATTGTAGAAGCTGAAGTTTGTGGTGCTGTTGAATTGTACTGCATTATACAAAAAGGTGTTTGTTATTTAGCCTATCCTCATGGATATAAATGCAGTGGAAAAATAACACAAATACAACAACAACAACATACAACACAAACTGAACGTTATCCACCATGAAGGTAGGACCTTTAGCAGGACGGTGGCATTAGTTATAGCTACATGTACCTAATAAACTGCCAATTGAGTATATATGAAATAACTGTTCGAGTTTTATTACACTTGAATTTTTTCCGATTGTCTCTGAAGGCATCACCTAAATTTGAGAAGGCGCTTTAATTTCTTAGTATTTTGATGTGGGACGACATTAAAATGTCATCTGTTACCCATTACTTTTTGAATGTGTAGCAGTCTGCCAACTCTTACGCAGTTTCTGAACCAGTTTTGTTAATGAATAATCTCTGTGTTGACAAATAAAGTGAAATTCCCACTCATGATGCGACAACATCAAAGGCACATCTTACTGGACTTGATGTAGCCTGCTGATACTCACATTGATGGAAAAATAATATGAAAATCCAATATTTATTGTATATAACATATTGTCTAATCCACTGAAAGCAATGATTACAATCAGTCTGTCATGGTTTTGAATTATTAATAATTCATCCTTCCATTAAAAATTACATTCAGCCTGACCCTTTGTGCTTGACCCCCCCCCCCCCCCCCCCCTCATTCCCTGCTCCCTAGTATGCTGTATACACCGGCTCACTAGCAGATTTGATTTTGACTTTGTGCCAAGTACCTTTGCTTTCCTGTGTTTTGTTTTGTTTGTTTTTTTGCCTGAGCCTGGCTGCTCTGAGTTGACATCAAATTGACCAAAATAACTATAAAAATAACTATTAAACTATTCTATTTGTTCATATTTTCCCCAAAACACAATTAAAGTATGTTCCAAAGTTGCATGATACGATAAGTGATGAAAAGATCATTGACAGAAATGAAGAAATGGTGTGCAAACATGCAGCCATGGAGGAAGCTGTTTTCAAACTGCACCATGAATCATATAATTTCTGCATTATTCACATTTAATCACAATACTTTTGCAAATGCAGTACTTGAATTCATGCTAAAGGTCAATGCTGACTGTGTTTAACAGTGGCAGGCATTTAGTCAAGGACAAAACAACAGCAGTAAAGGAGAAGAAAGACGGAGTTTGCCTGAGGGGGGATTGTGCTGCATGTAACTGTAGTAACACTGATGAGAGAGCAGGGGGTTTTCCATGTGTAAAAAGCTATTACAAATATCAAATTCTTGAGCTGTAAATGAGACGGAACGAATGTTTTCCTTCAAGAAAATGTCAATCAATTCATGCCATGTTGCAACACGACGTTCTGCTGTAAATCTGGCTGAAAAAAAGTCAAAGAAAACACGTTACAATCCTCTGCTTTTAGAGGACAGGCTGTTTTCTCAAGTGTCTGCGAGAACTGACACCAATGTATAATACCGTGGGCCTGTCTGAACCGCCGTGCCGAGGCGCTGTTTATGGCGAGTTTCGAGTCTCGGCACTCTGAGTGTTGGTCTCCAATGTTTGCTCATATAGTCGTGGGTAGGTACACAGTCATCCACACCCTGTCTCCCCTGTCTAAAAAAAGCTTGCTGTGGTTTGGGATACACATCAGCTTTGAAGGAGCACTAGTCTGTCTGCTTCCTCGCTAACCCAAACCCAACGAGGAGCCACAGAGGACTGCTGTGTTTCTCTGTTGGTGTGAAGACATAAAACTACACTTTATTTCCAGCAGTGTCTTTATTTCCTGAGGCTAAATATGTCCCTTCGCTACTTCTCTCCCTCTACCCTCCGCGTTTCTCTGAGCCACAGGCTTGTTTACCAGCCTGTGCAGAAAGAGTCAGTCAGCAGCTTCTCAGTGGAGAAGAGCACCGCCTGGACTGGGTTTTTCCGTGGAGAGGACAGAGAGGGGGGAACGGAAACAAGATTAAAAAAAAACAAGGAAACAGCAAAGCAGAAACAAGAAAAAAGCGAAAGGATGGCTTTTACGAGACACCTCGTTCTTCAGATATAACACTGAACATCTGATCAGCAATGGAGTGGAAACATGTGAAAGCTGACTGCAGATGATACAGAGCAAAGGAAAAGTGAACCACCAACACTGAAAACAGTCTCAACTGTAGCTCAACAGGTGCTTGTGTCATTGAGGTCTTTGCCAACTGATCTGACACCTGTGTGACAGTGAATCTACGGTTTCAGTGAGGCACTTTGTTTAGTCTGCAAAAGCTGAACCAACCTGCTAGCAAACCCATATTCCCACCATAGTAGTTGCCTGCTTCTTGTTGTACGGTTATATAGACATTTCTATTGTCAGAAAAAAAATCTTATGTCATCAAGTCCTTCACTTCCCGCTGACCCCGGACAGTTCCTTCTGCATGCCATTTTTAGAACATAGGTTTTTATGAGCAAATAAACATCATACATTTCTAATTCAAGAATATCCTGTGAAGTCTGTGGCATAAGAGGGGATCTCAGGGAGAGGTGGAGGGCATGACATGAATGGGCTGGAAGTGGCTTTCTGACCACATACTGAGATTTAAGAGGACAGCGGGAGAAAAAGGAATTCCTATGGATGGCCTCTTCAACCCCTAAATGGCTCAGGAGACGCAGAATGAGTGAAGTTGAATCCCATTTAGGATTTGGAATATCGAGACCTGGCTCTGTTTTGGAGGATTAAGGCTCGGGCTTGAAGCGAAGAAGACAGGCAAACAAAGAAAAAACTCCTCGGGGGAGGCACTGCGAGAGGGAAATGCCTCTTCATCTTTACCTTTGGAGCCTCTTTAAATTCCCAACAGAGTGTGAGTGGTCTGCA